AAATACAGAACAGGCAAAATTCATAGTATATTTTTCTTGAATACTAAAGACGGTTCGTCTGCGCAGGTCACTTGCCGAAGATATTCATCCCCATTAGTAAATGATGATTGTAAATGAATTGCATTAGATTGGAATCTAAATTGCAGTCAAATACATAACAGGCAAAATTCATAGTATATTTTTCTTGAATACTAATGACAATTCGTCTGCGCAGGTCATCTGCCGAAGATATTCATGTCCAATAAAAAATGCTAATTGTAAATGAATTGCATGAGGCAGGAATTAAATTTACGGGCAAATATATAACAGGGACAATTCAAAAGATATTTTTCTTGAATACTACTGACGATTCGACTGCGCAGGTCACCTGTGGAAGAAATTCATCTCCAATAGAAATGAATTGCATTAGATAGATTAGAAATGAATTGCATTAGATTGGAATCTAAATTGAGGCTATCTACTTCGCAATGTATGTGTTAAAAGCAATTTTTGATACCTGCTATGACAACAGGAAAATCAACTCTGTTCCCTTATTAAGTTTTAGGAAGACAAATCGTTCTATTCTGTGATAAAATTTTGAGGAGAGAAAGTCTGCAGAAAAAGAATGAAGATTCAAAAATTCTGTGTTCTTCTTTCACTTTTATAGTAAGTATCGAATGATTGTTACTGTCGTTGAATATATAAACTTGTTTGTTTAACTTTACTCTGTACCAAAAGTTTGGGACAAAACTGTCATCAAAATGTACAGAAGATTAATGTCACGCCTCTATTGCCGTGTACTTGGTACCGTGTAGACAGTGCTGTACTTACTTCAGTGTGCAAATCAAGATGAATTTTAAACTTCTTTTTTAATCTGATATTGAGGCAAAATATGACCACCAAGCAATGAATCTCTGAAGTTTTATATTAAACCGTATTTCTTTTAAAGCAAGGAGAATTGCTTAGAGATGTTTATTGTACTATACCCGAAGGTTTTAGCAGTAAGTGAAGTAGTGTTTCTTGCCGAAACTACTGATTTTGAGCTTTCGGTTAATTAACTACAAATCTTTCATCCTGACTAAATTTCGGATAAATATTTTGACGAAATTTTTTTTTCGACCTAATTTGAAATGAAACGAAATTTAGTCACGACGAAATCTTTTGCATTTAAGATTTTTGACCATTCAAATAGAAAAACGATCACATGAGGACAGGAAACAAAATTTATGGATCCTTTAATCAACTCAATGTCAATTACGTCATTTTTCTTATTTTCCTCATGTTCATAATTATCTTTATCGTGGGCATCATCATCATCATCATCATCATCATCAGCATCAGCATCATCATCATCATCATCGTCATCATCATCATCATCATCATCGTCATCGTCATCATCATCATCATCATCATCATCATCATCATCATCATCATCATCATCATCATCATCATCATCATCATCATCATCATGATCATCATGATCATCATCATCATCATCATCATCATCATCATCATCATCATCATCATCATCATCATCATCATCATCATCATCATCATTATCATCATCATCATCATCATCATCATCATCATCATCATGATCATCATGATCATCATCATCATCATCATCATCATCATCATCATCATCATCATCATCATCATCATCATCATCATCATCATCATCATTGTCGGTTCTTGGATTAACTTCGTTTTCACCATCGTTCGTGAAAAAAAATTCTAGCTCAGTGGCGTCCGACAAATGGGAAAAGAGACTTTCATATTCTTTGCCTTCTTTCCTTAGTAAGTGTCCTAAAAGCATAAGTTGTCTCTGCACTATTTGCTTCATATATTTCTTCTTTCAGTATGTACTCTTCTCAATACGTTTTCACTCGTCACTTACTTTATCCAGGAGATCTTCGCCATTCTCTGTAAAAACCGCATTTCTCTCGCGTCGACTTGCTTCTTCATAGTCCACCCTCATTAGCCGATCAAAATATCATCCATACATCATTGTACTCCATATATAGCACTTGATTCTAAGTTCAGTTTGATTGTTAATATTTAGTTTAGTTTGAAGTCCAGTTAAGTTTGTTGATATTTCTTGCAGTGAGTCCATTGGACAGAGATTGAAATGCTGTTTTTGCAATCCAAGATCTTTGTTTTATTTCTCGATCTGATTTAGCATATGATGTTATTGAGCACGGTCTATGAGAGAGATTGAAAATTTGCATATTCTAATTGAATTAAATCCTTGCATTGGTGTATGATCGGCCGAGGTCGGTGGCTTTGTTTACTGTGCATAGAGGGAAAGTGCTAGCTATAAGAAAGAGAAGGATTATAAAATCTTGGGAAAATTCTTAGAGAAAAACTTGGGAGATCTGGTGGTCTCCCAAGCGTCCTGTGCTACATACTGAATCTGCTATTACTGATTGGTATTTTGTGAAGTTTATACCTGTTGTTTAAAATGTTTTCATGGCTTAAAGTGATTAGTTGCTTTTTAATTTATGATTTAAGCTTTGAAATGTTCGTTAGGCAGGTTGCTAGGTGACTATGCAAATTACCGGTATGAAAAAAGGATATAAAATTATTTTGCTACTGTCAAAAACAACCAGTTGCTTTTTACTTTATGATTTAAACTTTGAACTTTTGGTTAAGCAAGTTGCTAGATGACTTTGCTATTTCCCGGTTTTAGAAAGAGGAGATAAAATTATCTTCTACTGTTGAATACATAACCACCAAAATTTGTAAATCTTTATTGAATCATGATAACCTTTCCATTGCACAGATCAATGCCGAAGATATTCATCTCGAAAAGTATATGCTGATTGTAAATAATTTGCATTGGTGTTGAATTTAAATGACGGACAAATACAAAACAGGCAAAATTCATAGAATATTTTTCTTGAATACTAAAGACGATTCGTCTGCGCAGGTCACTTGCCGAAGATATTCATCCCCAATAGTAAATAATGATTGTAAATGAATTGCATTAGACTTGAATTTAAATGACGGACAAATACAAAACAGGCAAAATTCATAAAATATTTTTCTTGAATACTAAAGACGATTCATCTGCGCTGGTCACTTGCCGAAGATATTCATCCCCAATAGTAAATGATGATTGTAAATGAATTGCATTAGACTTAAATTTAAATGGCGGAAAAATACGAAACAGGCAAAATTCATAGTATATTTTTCTTGAATACTAAAGACGGTTCGCCTGCGCAGGTCACTTGCCGAAGATATTCATCCCCAATAGTAAATGATGATTGTAAATGAATTGCATTAGACTTGAATTTAAATGGCGGGCAAATACAGAACAGGCAATATTCATATTATATTTTTCTTGAGTACTAAAGACGGTTCGTCTGCGCAGGTCACTTGCCGAAGATATTCATCCCCATTAGTAAATGATGATTGTAAATGAATTGCATTGGAGTTGAATTTAAATTGCGGTCAAATACAGAACAGGCAAAATTCATAGTATATTTTTCTTGAATACTAAAGACGGTTCGTCAGCGCAGGTCACTTGCCGAAGATATTCATCTCCATTAGTAAATGATGATTGTAAATGAATTGCATTAGATTGGAATCTAAATTGCAGTCAAATACATAACAGGCAAAATTCATAGTATATTTTTCTTGAATACTAATGACAATTCGTCTGCGCAGGTCATCTGCCGAAGATATTCATGTCCAATAAAAAATGCTAATTGTAAATGAATTGCATGAGGCAGGAATTAAATTTACGGGCAAATATATAACAGGGACAATTCAAAAGATATTTTTCTTGAATACTACTGACGATTCGCCTGCGCAGGTCACCTGCGGAAGAAATTCATCTCCAATAGAAATGAATTGCATTAGATAGATTAGAAATGAATTGCATTAGATTGGAATCTAAATTGAGGCTATCTACTTCACAATGTATGTGTTAAAAGCAATTTTTGATACCTGCTATGACAACAGGAAAATCAACTCTGTTCCCTTATTAAGTTTTAGAAAGACAAATCGTTCTATTCTGTGATAAAATTTTGAGGAGAGAAAGTCTGCAGAAAAAGAATGAAGATTCAAAAATTCTGTGTTCTTCTTTCACTTTTATAGTAAGTATCGAATGATTGTTACTGTCGTTGAATATATAAACTTGTTTGTTTAACTTTACTCTGTACCAAAAGTTTGGGACAAAACTGTCATCAAAATGTACAGAAGATTAATGTCACGCCTCTATTGCCGTGTACTTGGTACCGTGTAGACAGTGCTGTACTTACTTCAGTGTGCAAATCAAGATGAATTTTAAACTTCTTTTTTAATCTGATATTGAGGCATAATACGACCACCAAGCAATAAATCTCTGCAGTTTTATATTAAACCGTATTTCTTTTAGAGCAAGGAGAATTGCTTAGAGATGTTTATTGTACTATACCCGAAGGTTTTAGCAGTAAGTGAAGTAATCTTTCTAGCCGAAACTACTGATTTTGAGCTTTCGGTTAATTAACTAAAAATCTTTCGTCCTGACCAATTTTCGGAGAAATATTTTGACGAATTTTTTTTCGCTTTTTTTCGAAATGAGACAAAATTTAGTCACGACGAAATCTTTTGCATTTAAGATTTTTGACCATTCAAATAGAAAAACGATCACACGAGGACAGGTATCAAATTTATGTATCCTTCTATCAACTCAATGTCAATTACGTCATTTTGTTTACCTTAATTTTTATAGATACCTTTATCGTGGGCATCATCATCATTATCATCATCATCATCATCATTGTCGGTTTTTGGATTAACTTCGTTTACACCATCGGTAGTGGAAAAAAATTCTAACTCAGTGGCGCCTTCCAAATGAGAAAAAAACACTTTGAAAAATGATGTTTTCTGGCGTTCTTAATAGCGTGGGAACCTATTTGCTCTTGCTCAACTCATTTCCCCCCTCCCCCAATCTTATCACCCTGGCTACACTACCGCTCCAACTTTCTTTTTTCTACGGTTTCAAAGATTCCACCACTTTCTTTTTATACTCGTATATACTTTTTCTTTCATTTGTTCAAGACAATTGTTTATCAACTTTCCTATTTTAAAGATAAGTATATTTTTATCATTGTATTTTTCACTTCTTTTTTGACCCCACCTTTGCATAAACTGAGCAAATATACCATTTCAATTTCATCTTTTTGACATGCTTTTTGGTGTGAAAAAGCTGCCTAAGGTTTGAGCCAAATTCTTTACGGTTTCTCAAGCCAGCAATTCTCCACAAAGCCGTTACCTACAGGAATGAATATTGAATATTTATCTGACGAAAATTTTTGTTGCTATTGAATGCTTTTCTATTTTCTCTTTCAATGTTTTCTACAACAAACTAATCTTTAAATTCTACTTCAGTCTAGCATTGTTCCTAACACGTGCTGGATCATGGATTCTACGTCTGCCATGCAAAGTAGAGGGAGTGTTTGATGTTGCATCTCCAGGCTACGCACTTTATAATCGATTGCTTTCAACATTGACCGCTTCAAGGTTGGAAGATTGTTTTGAAAATTGCAGACTTATTGACGGGTGTAAGTCTGTAAATTATAAAGTATCTGGTGAGAATAACTGTGAGCTGAACAATCAAATAAATGGGAGTGCTGACTCGGCAGATTTCAGGAACAGAGTTGGCTGGACCTATTATGCTACAAATTACAACAAGAAAAATGTATGTTTATGAAAGTAAAACAATTCATCAAACTGTTGAGACAAGAATTAAATTTTCATCGCTAGGTTGTAAAAATCCGAGTTTCTTTTTCAACTTTTAGCATTTGAGAAGTAATCAATTAATTGTTTCTCTAGATTGGTTCTTACTGCGAGTTATCCAAACCATGCAGACAGCCAGGGTACTGCATTGACACGTGCTCGTGCCCAGGCTTTATGTGCATCGATTGCAGCTTTAAATACAGACTGAATGATGAACTTCAATGCATTGGTAGGTATTTATTTTTCTTAGCAACGGTAAAGATGTTTTCTAGCATCAGAAATTGGAGAAGGGATCTGAACAACTTTGAGGAAAAAATCACAAAATGTAAAAATGCATCTCTTTCTTTTCTAAGTTTTTTATTCCGACCATTCAGTTGCAGCTATAAATTAATATGCTCTCTTAGCTTGTCTTAAAGATCAGCATTTTGCATTAATGGATCTCTTTGAACTAAAATTGCAGAAAAGTCAGCAAAGAAATAGGATAAGGTTCATTTAGAAGCTCGTCTGGCACGGGTGTAACATCCCAATAGTTTCCATGATCTCGTGGCAAGGATTGGCGGGTGTCGATTAGTTATTCAATTTTGGCACCAAACCAAATAAGAAAGCAAAATCTCCATTTCGGGGCAGTTGCAATCGAGTTACCTGGCAACTGGGCATCACAAGCTTGGAGCTATGTATGAGGAAACAATTGTGTCTTTCGTTTAGGAAATTTAGACCCTGAGTTTCAAAAAGATTTGTTGATTAGAAACAAAGTGTTTTATTGACTTCTTTTAAAACTTTTGTTTTATTAGTAGCTAGATACTAGACACATCTTTTCCATATTGGGTTTTTGAAAGAAATTTGGTCAATCCTTATGGAAACCATATCTTCTGCAAAGTTAACCTTGGTTATTTTCATAGTTTCCTCTTAGGTCTGCCATGCCTAGTTTTAATTTCAGTAGGGACTGTTACGATGTGAAGGAGATAGAACAACGCATGAGTTGAACAGAACAGAACGATAACTTTATATTAACCTCAAACGGGCTACACACATAACTGTAAACTGTAAACTATTTATACATGAATCATATAAAGTAATGCTCCTGCCCATAGTCAATTAGTTTACTACTTTACTCCTCCTTTTAAAGAATTTTTTTTATTTGTATACTGTTTACATAGTGTCCATCGGTATGGGTTCACCATATCGTACTGGTGCATAACGTTTTCTAACTAGTCTTTCAGCAGTTCTAGGAACCTCTTGTTCACAAGCGTATGTGGCTCGATTTGATTGATTGACATCTTCGGAATCCGACATCTGAGCGCGTTTCTGATAGTTATTGGTTAATTTTTTGAAAAATGATACGTTGCGAGTTACACGGCGATGACTACTGTCTTCTGTAGTTATCTGCGTACCTTTACGGTTTACGACTTTGTATGGCGTTTTGCTGAATCGTGTCGTTAGTTTGTCTTTTTTTTGTTGGCGGACAAGAACAGTATCTCCAACTTGAAGGTTGCTCTTCCGTGCTTTTCTGCGTTTGTTTGCATATGTTTCTTGGTATGAACGACTGCGTTCCTCGTTTATTCTAGCTTCTTTGTGTCGATATATGACGCGATGGTTCTCTAAAGTAGGGAATTTTCCTTGTACCTTTCTGTTGAATAACAACTCTGATGGCGCAATTTTCGTGAGGTGTATTACGACACTGGAACAAAAAACGGTTCAGTTCTTGTTGCCATACCTTTCCATCTGCCACTGCGCTTTGTACGGCTTTGATGAGAGGCTGATTAAAGCGTTCGACTTCTCCATTTGCCTGCGGCCAGTAAGGTGTGACGGGTTTATGGTTTATACAGAGGATATTTACATATCGTGCAAACTCTTCACTCGAGAATGGTAGACCGTTATCCGTCTTTAATTCACGTGGTATGCCATGTACCGAAAATATTTTGTCCAGCTTCGGAATGACAGTTGATGCTTTCGTGGATCGCACAATTTCGGTTTTCGGAAATCGCGAATAACGATCAATGAGGACTAAGAGATGATCTCCTGAAGGAAGCGGTCCACAGAAATCAATATGAACAGTTTCCCATGGTCCTCTAGGAAAATCAGTTTGTTGCAGAGGTTCTGATGGTTTGACGACAACTTGACAAGTGATGCACGAATCTAAGGTATGATGAACTAGGTTTTCCATACCTGCAAACCATACCTTTATTCGTGAGAGGCTTTTCTTTTGGAAAGATCTTGGTGAGCTTCATGGGCAATATCTATAGCTCGTTGCTGAAGTGACTCCGGTATAACTAAACGTGTTCCTCTAAAAAAAATTCCCTTTGTACCAATAGTGAGCTCGTCGTTGATTGCACAATAAGGCTTTAAACGATCAGATGCTTGCCATCTATTTGTTCGTATAGCGGCTCGCAATGCTTGCAATGTCTTGTCAGTGTTGGTAGCACTCGCTATTCCATCTGGCGACATAGCTTTAGGCACAAAGTGACTCGTAATCATGTTTACGTACTCCTCCGCGATTCTTCCTTGTTTTCGCGATTGCTGAATGGATGGGTGTCTGGATAGATAATCAGCAGAGTTCTCCCTTCCTGCCTTGTACTGCACTTTAAACGAATAAGGTTGTAGTCGCAAAACCCATCGCTCAATCCTCGCGGACGGCTTAGAGGTAGAACTGCCGTAAGTAGTTTCCAAAGATTTGTGGTCTGTTATCAAAGTAAATTCGTTGCCATATAGGAACAAATGAAAATGTCTACTGCCCAAACGATGGCTAGAGCCTCTTTTTCCGTTTGCGAGTATCGTTACTCAGTATCGGACAGTCCACGACTGGCGTAAGCAACAACCTTGTAATCATCACTGTTCTTGGTTGCTTGACTCAAAATTGCAGATACACCTACGGGACTTGCGTCCATCGTAACGAAACTTTCTTTATTGGTATCGAAAAACGACATAACGGGAGCTTCAGACAGAGCCAATTTCATGTGTTCAAATGCTTTCTGTTGAACTGCTTGCCATATGAATGGTGTATTTATTTTTGTCAATTCTCGAAGTGGTGCAGTGAGCGTTCGCAAAATCTTGGATGTATTTAGCACTATAGTTTGCCATTCCGAGCAGGCTTCGTATCTCTTTGCTGCTGGTAGGTATCGGTGCATTCTGAAGATCGCTTATGCGTGCTGGATCTGGCTGCGTACCATCTTCCGTGAACATTTGTCCATAAAACTGAATTGATTTCTGTAGAAAGTTACATTTCTTGAGATTTAGCGTAAGGCACTTTGAATACAGACGTTGCAAACAATTTTGCAAAGCTAAATCGTGTTTCTTACGAGTTTTGCCAGAAACTACGATGTCATCTGCGATGTTCAGCACTTCATTAATACCTTGTAAAGTTTCTTGTAAAACATGCTGGAAAATTTCCATAGTAGCATTTGTCCCATAATTGAGACAAGTGTATCGATAAAGTCCTATTTGTGTGTTGAAGGTAGTGATAAAACGACTGTCTATATGTAATGGTAGCTGGTGGTAAGCTTGGTTTAGATCCAATTTACTGAAATATTTGGCACCATTGAGTTGAATGTTTATTTCATTCAATGTAGGGATCGGATAACGTACACGTTTTATTGCTGTATTTGGCACACGCATATCTACGCAAAGACGAACAGATCCATCCTTTTTCGGTACTACGACGATTGGAGATACCACTGCGAAGGCGCATTTTCTGGCACAGCTTCAATGATCCCCTCTTTTTCCAGCTGGGTGACAGCTTCTTTAACTTTCTTTCGCAAATGAAGAGGAATTCTCATTTGCGGTTGTGCACGTGGTATTGCCTTTTCGTCGATGCTTAGCTTCACCGAGTACCCCTTCAGTTTACCAGTTCATTCAAAGTCTTTGTTGAAACGTTGAATTATGGCATCAATTTGCGGATCAATATGTTTTGTAGGGGTTGCTGAAACTGAAAGTTTGTTCAATTTCAGTGTTATGACTCCAAGTTCTTGTGCTGTATTGGCTGAAAGTAAACAACCAGCATTACGATATTTTAGGACATAAAATGTTGCAACTCAAATAAATAGCGAGATTTTGCTGTGATCGTCGATTCCAATTTTCCCATAAAACAAACTGGTTTCGAAGAGTTAAATGGAAAAGCTTTTATTTTGGTTTGTTGTAACTTGACTCCGTTTATCTTTCCGAAAGTATTTCTATCGATAACGTTGATTATGGATCCGGTATCCAATATCATGTTGAACTTGTGACCTTCGACCACAACCTTTACCACAGGGTTGCGTTTTGATAATTTGTCGTTGCCATTTGAGACCGTATACAAATATTCCTCGTCACTAGAATTATCCTCATGCTGCAAAGGTCTCACCCAATGGCGGCGCCAGCCACAAAGCTCTGGGGGGGACAAATCAAACAAATTTAAGCCACGCCCTTTAAACCACCAGAAAACGCCCTTTTACCAACAGGAAACGCCAATTATATCCGAAGGGAACGCCTATGAGATACTTTTGTTCGAAAATTGGCAGTTTGAAAATCATTGGATAACATCACAAAAAGTACGGTGTCAAAATATTACCCCTCCCCCAACATTTTCTCATCGAATTTAGACGAAATACAAAATCGATTCTGCTGAGAACTGGGGGGGACGTGTCCCCCTCAGTCCCCCCGTGGCGCCGCTACTGGTCTCACCGCTGCGTGTGATTTGCGAGAATTTGCAGGACGTCTTTGTTTCTGCTTCGAGAATTTTGAACTCCTACAAACTGATTGAAAGTGGTTCGGTTTATTGCACTTGCGAAATGTTTTCCCTTGTGCGGGGCATTGATTTTTGTGCGGCCATTCTCCTCCACAATTGTTGCAAGTCTTGTTATCAGATTTCGATTGCAAACGGTTCGTTGTTTCTGTGTGTACGTGGATTGTTTCTATATCTCGGGCTTGATACGAACTGGTTTCATCCTGTCTTCCATCGATTAGCATGTCTTTAAGGGTATACGTAGGGTCACGCAAAGCTCGACGTCTTATACGGGAAGATCGACCCCCTATAATTATTTGTTCCTCGATTTCAAAGTCTACATCTTCGAATTCGCATGTACTGGATATCTGCCTGAGTCGTGTATGAAAGGTATCGAGCGATTCTTGATCTCCCGGACGAGTTTCACGAAAACGATAAACTTCGTACCGTCGATTTTTCTGCGGCTCGAAGTACTCAATGAGCTTGGCTTTTGTTGCCGCAAAGTTGTCTTCATCCCCTTCTCCGTCGACATCACTCAACTGGTTAAAAATTTCTCGACCTTTGGGTCCAGCTTGAAAAAGTAACAAAGCTTTCTGGCGCTTAGCGTCTTGAATTCCGCTAGCCAAAAGAAAAGTATCAAAATCACGTAGCCAAAGTTTCCATCTGGCAGCAACACTCGCTCCAAGTTTTGCATTCGGGTTGAATGGTGGTAATGGATTGAGTTGTACAGACATTCTCGTCGCCAAAGTTGAGATGTGAAGGAGATGAAAATGGATCACATAAAGTAATGCTCCTGCGCATAGTCAATTAGGTTACTACAGGGACTAAGCTTCTTCGCACCACAGATATTGTTTCATTCCAAATTCACCATCCTTTAGAAATTTGAGTTTAGTTTTCATACTTTTTTCACTTTATCTTTTATTATTATAATCAATTTTTTTATGATAACGATCTAATTCTCCAATAATAGGAGACTTGAAAATGACGGCAAACCCAATTTTTTAAGATTCAATTTTCAGCTTTAAGATAAAGAAGATAACTGTAAAATAACTTATTTTACAAGGCAGGTAAAGCTCGTGAAACAGACTCCAGTTCGCAATAACATTTTTAAAAATCAAGGATCTTCAATAGCGATCGTATAATTAGCAGCAACCAACAATTACAAAATAACAACTTCATTCAACGACAACTTCGACTAGACTGGACTTGCACTGAAAGAACATACGCTTTTAACAATAAAACTGACGCAGACAAAACTGTAATGACATAAATTAACAGCAAATGACAAAAAACGACGACTAAAATGGCGATGGCACGATGACAAACAAAATGGACTGATGCAAACATCGAAAGACATCCTCATTAACGATAACGAACCACAAGCACGATGCACGACAAACAAAACTACTTGTATAACATAACTAAGTAAATACTTCATTATTTTGTTTCTACTGATTGCCAAAAAGGATTTTTACTGAGTCGAAGCGAAGTTTACCGAAGAAAACAAAAATTTCGAGGAAATGTCACTCCCCTAACACCCCACGGTAAAGCCGCCCCTGACAATAGGTCTGCAAAATCTTTAGTTGGTCGGTAAATAGCTTGACGTTGGCTGAAATTTTCTTTGTTTTCGCACACTTCGGTGAATTTTACATTTCGTCACACTCAAACTCCTCAATAGTTGGGAAAAAGATGCTATTTGTAGGCATTGAAGGAAAAGGGCCTGAAAAATAATATGTTCATGTGAACAACCCTCTAACTATAAAATTTCAAATAAATTTAAAAAATGTATTCTCTGCAGTTTGGAGTGAGGGTCTGTGTGATTTTCAAATTTCTTTCTATTTTCCATACTTAAAGCCCGGACCGTGCTTCTCATGCTGAAAAAAAGCCTGGAAAGCTTTTCTGGCGAAAATATAGCCGACAGAAGTGAACGCATATCCATAGTTTCATATAATACCGCCAATAAAAGAGGCAATGTACTCAATTGCAACTCACGGATGTGTTCCTTTTAACCTACATATGCTCCTCCTCCAACTTCTTAAATAATTTGTCTTCTTAAATGTCTTTCATTTCAAGTGACTTATTCAAACTTTTTTAGCGAGCAACAATATAGCATTAAACAAGCCAGCGGAATTATCAACACAATATGATGGCAGTACATTTGCAGCCAACGCAGTTGATGGAAGCTTAGAAGCGTGGCACAGCACCTGTGCCATTACAACACATCAGAGTTTTCCTCCATGGTTTCGTGTTGATCTTCAACAGACACTTCCTGTTCGATCAGTTGCTTTGCAAAACAGGAGGGACTGCTGCTGGAATCGAATGAACCCATTTGATGTTCGCGTCGGCATGAGTTTGGAGAATGATGGTAGAGTGAATCCGAAATGTGTTGATGGGGCCAGTTTTATCCACGGAAACCAATACCTCAGTTTGGAATGTCCTTCGATAATGTACGGCCGTTACGTCATTGTGTTAGCTGAGACTCGAACGATAATGGAGCTTTGCGAGCTAGAGGTTTATTCATAAGAATAATTGTCAGATTTTGCAGACACTCATATATTGATAAACATATTACCAAGTTTGCACTGTTTCCTCATGCACATCTCTTTAAGCAGACAAGCCCGCCTCATGTAAACAGGCCCTATGTGAGCCACAAATAATTTTGTGCGTTTCAAATTGTTGACCGTTTGAATTGTTATTATTGTAATTCTACTGGGTTGTCAAAGTTCATTGCACCCCGTGCAAGGGCGTCGCGAGTTTTTTCTAAAAATCAAAAATCAATGTTTTTCTGAGGATCGTCGAACTGTCTATTCTGAGCGGTGTAGTAATTTGTTAAATTTTATCCTGGGAGATGCATTGTTAGCCATTCTAGAAGGCTTGATTTCAAAATTTTCTTCCGCGTCGGACCCAACCATGGTGGATCCTCTTTTGACACTTAATTTGACACTAGCCCAACCCCAAATTCAATTTCGTGCGCTGCTGTCTCTGTCAGATTCAAATAGTGCGATTCAATGCTTGAAAACTTTGAAGTTGTTGAGAGAACTACTATTTAAAAAACTACTAAAGAATAACAAACTTAAACCATGTTAGTATATCATACATTACATATACGATGACACAAGGATGATAAAATCGCCCATAAGCAGTGGCGACATGGACTAAGGTTACCTTTAGTTAAAAAACTAAGGAGCCCGAAACAAAAATTTGCTCTAGGTTGTTTTACTCTGAAAGTGGTATTCTGGATATAATGTGCTGGAGACGTGCTCACACATGTGTTGTGGGAAATTAGTAACTTATCAGTACGTATAGATTTAGTAATCCGCATGTTTAAGAAACCAAATTAGATACTTACAGATACAGTAAAATTAATAGACTCGTGGAAACAGAAATTAAGGAACCATAAATGCACACAACATCCTGCATGATGCATAGGCACATGGTTAAATCGCAGGAAAACCGTAAGTAAAGCAGATTAATCAGTATTATTAGATAATTGGAGCAAATTCGTATAAAAGATTTAAATAGAAACACTTAAGTAGAGTTAGCGTAGAGTCGCTCGAAATGTAGGTAAGAAACGAGCAACGTAGAGTCACCTAATAATTGTATGTGGAATAAAACAGAAAATTAAAGATGTACGAAAACGATATGGTCTTTTTCTTGAGAAATTCGGTTCACTTCTGAAACCTCTTTCGAATCAGTAGAGTGAAGCAATTAATGCAACATATAATAACGAGTTTAAGGGGCCGCCAGCCTGTGTGAAACATCAGTGTAATTGATTTGAATATGTTTTAATTAGCATTTTATGTTTTGCCTACCGTATTTCCTCGAAAATAGGCCGACTCTCGAAAATAAGCCAATTGAAAATAGCTTGATATTTCACCGAACCACGATCGAGAAGGTCAAATGTTAGGACTACATAACTTTTCCATTCATATTCACATTTTTAGTCAAAACTTATTTATGAAATTTGGATTCAAATTGCAAAAATCGATTTCCCTTCTAGAAAAACATACTTTTATATAACCAAAAAATAGATAGGGCGCAAAAATCGACTTGGCCACCCCAGGGAAAACAAAGCCACCCCGCCACCGAAAAAAAACGCTTTAGGTATTTCAGAACTTAGAGAACTTATCTATCTATCTATCTATCTATCTATCTATCTATCTATCTATCTATCTATCTATCTATCTATCTATCTATCTATCTATCTATCTATCTATCTCTCTATCTATCTATCTATCTATCTATCTATCTATCTATCTATCTATCTATCTATCTATCTATCTATCTATCTATCTATCTATCTATCTATCTATCTATCTATCTATCTATCTATCTATCTATCAAGTTCTGTTTGTCGGAAATGTTGCGTTTGTCGCTAAAAGTTGAGGTTATGACCTTGGTTGTCGGTAATTGTGAACAAAGTATCACCAGGAACGTCATTTCTAGGAATTACTGAGAAAGATTGAGGAGATTGGCTTTTCTCGAACACATTTCACCGGTCAAAAACTGTCATCTTTAGCCACAGATAAGCGTGCAAGGAAGAGAAAGCTGAAGCCTTAGCCTTTTCTACAAGCTCATTCGAGAAGGAACTCTTCGCAGAACATTTTGAAATGTTGTTCATTTATTATGTACTTCAAGCCTTTTTCCACTTCCTTCTATTTTTCCAAGTTTTGTTTTGTTTCAGTTCAGATTATCCTAGAGTCAGCTGCTCTGATTCTGACTCTCCACATTCGCATCGCTGGCACCTTTCCAACTCATTCCTCGTTGTTAAACCTTTCTCCTATTCCGGCGCTTAAATGTTTATTATAAAACCAACTCCAACTTCTTTCCCATCCCATTGTTATGTCAAAATCAAACCTCTTTGAACCATGGAAATTATTGTAAAAGAAAGCTAACAAGTATGCCTAAGACCCTCCTTTGGTCAAACTTGATGTTTTTAATGCATTTTCTGGCCATCCCTATAATGTCATAATTTCAAACTATTTCTTGAATTCGGCCAAAATTTCTAACCATGGTGGTGGCCTTTCCTAAACCCCAGAGAAATCTAAAGACTTTGTTCCTCCCCCCCCCTGTCACCTTCCAATAACATTTCGCCAGCCCTGCCTATGCTACTAATGTTTCCATATTGCCTGCTGCTCAACCAATCAATTAACCTGGCTGCTCAACCAATGATCGGAAAAATATCAACCCTCATTATGCTTTGAATGAGTAATTACATATCAAGATTTACTCAATAGCCGAGAAATCCCATTAGGCCCATGATTTGCTCTGTGGAGTTATACTATTTCATTGCGGACTTTTATATTTGAGGGGTTCAACCATCCACCAATCAAAAGTCTAGTGGTAGAAACACTACAGCGACGCTTAACGCAGCCAGATTTTACCCTAGAAATTCATAAACTATAGAAAAAATAAATTCTTTATCCCAACCTGCCTTTGAATCTCTTTGCTTCATTCTTCTCCCACTTAAAAGTCATTTAGATAGAAACGATAATTTTCCCCCACACTGGTATGATTTTCTCTTTCCTCTTAAGCCCTGGAAAAGCGACTAAACATTTCACTAAACATTTCACTCAACTTATGTTTAGCCAAAAGTTTAGTGAACAGTTTAGTCGTTTTCCCACCCTGTTTAGAGTTGTTTTGTCTTGTTGAGTGTTGTTGAGCAAAGTTTGATCCTGGTCAAAAATGTTTAGTTTTGTTTAGTGTTGTTTAGCAAATGTTTAGTCGTTTTGCCACCAATTAAACATTTATTGTGATCGCGCAGGCGCTCTAGCCATGGAAATCCAAAGGTTTTTGTCTGTTTTCGTTGGTTTTCCTGTCTCTACGTTACCCAAAAAGCCTTTATGAGACATCTGCATATCTCGTTGTACGCCTCTGTGTCTTCTTCAACAGTCAACTTTGTTGTCATTGTGCTAAAAAGTCTTTTCTTTCCGCGTCGCTTCATCCAATTCTTATTTTTATCCACTGCTTGTGCATGCAACAAAACAAACCAAAAGCAAATTCCTATGCAAGATCCCCTACAACCTAACAGCGTCATAGACAGCTCGCAGTAAACTTCGCTCAGCTTCACTAAACAAAAGTTGAATGAAATATTAAGTGAAATATTTAGTCTTTTTGCCAGGACTTTATCCTACGTCAGAATAAAACCCATTTAAAAGATTGTAGAACCCCAATTAAATTTCCAACTCCAAATTTCATTTAGAACTGACTTTCATATTTGGCGGTCTATGAGCCTCTTAACTTTTAGGGTGATAATTAATGAGAACTAATAGCAATATTCCAATAGCCTTTTAAGGAAGCCTTAAAAATGTTTTTACTTAGGTAAATTTTTAGTCTATATACCCCCCCCCCAGCAACACTTGCCTCGCGACGGCCCTGACCCCGTGGTATTGTCCTTATTATATTCGAATTTTTCTTGTATTTGGTTGTCCTTTTTATTGATTTGAAAATACCAACCAAAGTAGCCATCACCTTAAACTCAGAGGTCTTCTTAACGACAGACCTCCCCTTAAGTGGGCTGGTTAACTCAAGTGGGAACCATGCTTTCTATACATCCTTTTGTTATCCGTAGTTCATTTTATTATATTATATAGGTTAAAGGTTCATACATATATATGTTTTTGAACCTGCCTGTTTAAAGGATTAAAATAATCACTAATACTAATAACAAAAGAAATTTATTGACCTAGCCTAATTTACAATATTATATAAAACTAAGGCTATAAAAAGAGAACGTAAAGATGAAATGAAAGTTGTCCCCGATTATAGCTGTTCTTTGAAGGTTTTCAAGGAGTGGGCCAATTTAGTAGCTTTTTCTAGACTGTTCCACAGTTTTGGACCGCGATAAGAGTAAGCTTTTTAGCAGCGGTATCTGAAGATCAGTTTCTGATGAACGCAGAAACCGTTTTCTATCATCCGAACACTTTGCAAATAATTTTCTCGTCAGATGCAAGCAAATTTAAAGATTTGTAAGTTGGCGTGGCTGCCTCCTTTCTTACAATATTTCTGATAGTTGACCAGCCAAGATTCTGAATGGTGCAGGGGCATTGTATGGGCTGCTAGTTACAATTCTGGCAGCTCTATTTTGGATTTTTTGCAAAACGTCAAGCTTTCATTCACTACAGCAGTAGCTCAAATGGGGCTCAACAATTCTTTTATACATTTTGTTGAGTTTGTCAGATAAAATATATTTCTTAGAATACTTAATAAGTTCAACGGCTCGATTAGTCTTGGTCTTGATAGTATCGACATGCTTGTCCAGTTTAGTTTACTGTCTATCTGAACACCTAGGTATCTTGTGTTGGTAATCATGTAACGTAGAGAACTGACAGTATGCATGTGATGCCATGTTCGAACAGGCATTAATTTAAGGAATTTTCATCACTGCACAAAACAGCGTAAAACGCAGATTTTCGGGGCCAAATAGGGTGTGGCTAAGGGTGTGGCTAAGTTTTAAATGGACCTCTTTTGGACGGACGAAAAATGTTTGACATTGTTTTCAGGGACATTTTCAGTATAATTTGGCCTAACTACAGCTACCACTGATCATGTATAAATCTTACTAGAACATATCAAACCTGGCCAAAAGAAAACAGAGTAGCAAACCTGACAACAGGGAATTTTTTTCTTCACTATGACACCCTATGGAGTCAATATAGTACTTCTTTGTGAATGGGGGAAATGGTGTGGAATGGAATTACTGTGTTTGTTAGTTATTGATTGATCCTTAAAAGGTAAATCAACTGTTTCTAGCTGTTTCTTTTAATAAAATATTGTTTTTGACAGACTTGATCTCTAATCTTGTTACATATTCAAATGTTCTAAGAACTGTCCAAAACACAGCCTTACTGTATATTATATATTTTTCATGTAATATGAGGTTTGTCTATATAATACAAATCTGTAACTGCTACTAATCTTTCAAAACTATCCCTGGCTAGCTTTATGGATACCCAAACCAAAAAAATTCTTATCCAAAAATAAAACAAAGATAGAAATGGTATTCACTCCAATTATTGTGGTGCATTGCGTTTCATACAAAAGAAGAGAAGCAGGCCGCCATTTGATGGTAGTGAGATTGGGTCTTTTTGGCCATGCAATACAGAAGTCCAGGTTGTCGGAGGCCCTAGGATTATCTGAAAGAAGAAGCTTTCCTGCGAGCGGAGCAAGTAGAAAATTTTATGACCACGCCCTTTAGATTAGCTTGAAATATATTTCAGAATATTTCTAGCAGTTATTTTCTTGCAATAATTTAAAACATTTTGTTTTTTTCAAGGCATGCTTTTATTACATTTAATTAATTCTAGTCTTGAAATGTACATAATTGATTTATAAGACCCCACAGACGTCGGCTTATTCCTGAATCACTTAATATGATTGGCCATGCTCGGTATCCCCAGCTACAATCCTCTGATCCTCTGTTTAAAAGCCAGTAAAAAACTCGGTACGGTCGATACCGGTGGGATCCCCATTTGTGGACGATAACCAATCAAAACTCTTTTTACTAAAGGTGCTCTACTACTGTCGAATTTGCCTGTAGGATTCAAACAACAATTTTGAGTTGCTTTTTACAGTTCGAGTTTTTAACTTATCTCTCGCTTTAGCCAATTTGAAATAATCAGCATTCAGCCAAGGCTTATATCGATGAGACACGCGTCTTCTTAATGTAGGCGCATGCTTCGATAGAATAAGCGATAATGTTTGGGTCCACTTGCGTACTGCATCATCAATGGCTTGAGGACCTGCTACGTGTGCCTCCGAATCAACCTCAGAGAGATCTGAGACGAAAGCCTCTTGATTATAATTCTTCAAATGACGAGATGTAATATATTTGTGCTGGTGTTTAACACCACCACGCAGCTTTCTAACACAATATACAATATAATGGTCACTAAGACTAATCTTAAGCACTGCACTCTCTTTAATATTGTTACAGTTTGAGGTAGCTATATGATCAATCAAAGTTGAACTGTCTAGCGTGACCCTAGTGGGCTCTTTAATAATCAGCTTCATATCAAAAAGGTCGTACAGTTCACGTAACTGCATAATATGGCTCGAAGTATCGTCTCTATAACAGAAATCCCAGTTAGTATCTCCTAGAATAATAATTTCTTTCCCCTCTCCATCAAGAAAGCTCAGGTTTTTATGAAAGTTCTTTAAAGTTCTCAATAATGTAATTGCAAGGCTAGAGAATAACTCAAGTATAACTATCCAATGGTTCGCTGATAACTTTATGAAGTTGAATACAAACAAATGTCATTTACTTATTCTTGGCAAAAGTTCTTATCAACAGGTTAAAGTTAATGTAGGAGATTCTATCATAGAAAACTCGGAAGAGGAAAAGCTACTAGGTGTTGTGATAGACAAAAAACTCAGTTTTGAGACACATATCAGTAAGTTATGTAAGAAGGCTGGTAGCAAACTCACCGCCCTCGCTCGCATATCTGGATACATGGACGCTAATAAACTTAAAATCTTAATGAGAGCATTTGTAATTAGCCAATTCGAATATTGTCCACTAGTCTGGATGTTCCACAGTAGGCACTTGAATAGTAAGATTAATAGAATACACGAAAGAGCTCTGAGAATTGCATACAAAAACTATGATTCTAGCTTCAACACTCTGCTAGAAAATGATGGCTCGGTAAATATTCATGTAAAACACCTGCGAAATCTTATGAGTGAAATGTTTAAAACAAAGGGAAATATCAACCCTCCTTTTATGAGGGAGATTTTCTGCGAGCGTCATGCTGTTTATAATTTGAGAAATAATAATGAATTTATGGTACCAAGAGTAAGAACAACCATTTATGGAACCGAAACTATCAAATATAGAGGGCAGCGTCTTTGGCTCTCTTTACCTCAGCACATAAGGAATGCTCAATCTATTAATGAGTTTAAGAAAGAAATTAAAAGCTGGAATGGCACAGACTGTACATGCAAACTATGTAGGACGTTCGTGCCACAGCTTGGTTTTTTGTTATTCTATCTTTTAAATAGCTCAGGTTTTTTTTAGTTTTTTAATAGATCATTTTGTATTTAAAATTTTATGTATTTAATCTCGTATGTATTTAGTTGATGTAGTAGTTTTAACAGTTGGCTTGGATTAGCTCATTTCTTTGTAAATAGCTATGTAGCGCCAACTTTAAACAAATTGATTATTATTATTATTATTATTATTATGAAGGCTGTCAAATAAAGAATTAGGCTCACTGGGTGGTCTATACCAAGCTATGACAATGAACGGATTTGAATTCGGAGGTTCTTCCTCTTTGCAAATCGATTCAAGCTATTTATTAGGAAGATTCACTCGGGGTTGAAACCTGACTGTTTTTCTGACATAGAGAGCAACACCACCTCCTTGCCTACTCCTGTCATATCGACAAAGAGAAAAATCATCTAATGAGATAAGCTTGTCATCAATTTTTTGATCGATTTTGGTTTCATTTATGGCCAAAATATCAATGTTTTCGTTTTTTACAAGCGACAGCGTTTCGTCAATCTTCGCGATGAGGCTGTTTACATTAAATGATGCCATGGTCAGACCCTTTCTTCGCCTCAAAGGGCAAATAACAGGCCTCTGAACGCCATTTTCATCGACACTACTAGAATTGTTGACAGGATCTGAGTTTGAAATGGACCCTCCCCGTCATTGCATGAATAAAACTCATTGCTATAAAGATATCGTTCAAAGTTTTTCTATGATGTTCTTGGCAAGTTGTCTGCTGCCTTCGAAATTTAGATGTAACCCTTTCTTACCCAGATGAGTACTTGTGATGTTTTGTTGGCGCAGAATGTCCATGTTCATCATTTTCAAAGCACGGTTGAATTCACTAATCTTTCCATTAAGGAACTTTTTATCTTCACGCCTTACAACTTCAGAAACGATAATATTGCAGTCTAGAATGGATGAAAGTATCCAATCACAGAGGGACTTGATGCTTTTCGTCATTTCAGCGGCTGACAGGTTCACCAAATTATTTGCATGTGAGAATGGGCCAGCCTCGCAAATTCTAAGCTTTTGATTATCAAAATAGGGCTAGAAAATGTGATTATTCTACAACTAACTCCTTAGTTGTAAGAAAAAGCTTCAATTTCAAGGATTATCTTTTATGGCAGCTGCCGTTTATTCTAAGAGGCTGATAGTTAAGGAAAATAGAATTTATCTCATTTCAAGAGATTCATCTAAACAGACACTTTTGTGTTTAGATAATCAGGAAATTTTTCAATATTCGCCACTTGAAAAGAGGGAATTTCAAATTCAAGATCCCAAAACAAATAATGTGAAAGTCTTGAATAAACAATTGAACATATTCTTAACATTATCAAATTACAACGCGAAACACTTACTTTTACTTTAGGGTTGAATTCTAAAAAATGCAGTCAGCTTAAAGATCTGAAGTGCTCTAGTTAAAACTGTAAACACTAGGAAGAGGGGGCTACAAAGAAGACGAACGCGAATGGAAATACTTGCTGGGGCTGTTTTGTGATAAAGAAATTTGAAAAGGGTTATCCAATTCCATCAAACTTCTACGGAAACGGAAATAAAGGTAAATAATTTCAAATAAATTGTAAGTACATACGATTTTGGGTATCCATTATTTTACCTTTAGAGAAATAAAATACATGATTTTAAACCTGAAAGTATTTCAAATGATAATAGGCTAAGTCTTGCTATACGTAATATAATATACAATGGGTCCAATGATGAAAAGGTTTTTCTTAATTAAGCATATAACAAGGCAAGGGATTATATGTTTCGTTTTTCGTAGAAAAATCCAAAACTACGACCTCATTTTTTAACATAGGCAATCCTAACCACAAATTCAACAGACCTTGACATGTACAATAAACTCGATGTGCGCTACCAACGATTGGATCGAGGATACGGATCACTTTGGGCTGATTTGCCCTTCATTTTTGTGTCCAAAAAAGTTGCCTTCTTGTAAGAACTTACACTTTGTTGCGACCTTATAAGCATTCAAATAAAACCCAGTTGCAAATTTAAATTGACGGTGACAAGATTTTTCCAAACAAACTGGATAGGCGCATTCTCGAGTTAACAATATATTTGATACGTAGTACTGCTCGCTTTCAATAAAGTTTCACGCTCTACTCACCTTAGAACCTGTTTACATGAAGTGAGCAAGTTTCCTCAGGTGTGTTTGTATTCCCAAGTGACTGTGTATTTCATGAGGACCAGATATATCCCACTCAGGTAAGATCGTCCCTTTTTGAAAATTGTTAACGATATCTTTAAGTTTTGCTGCCACAATAATGAACATTAGATTTCCTCCACAATGTCGAATAACAGTTTGATTCCGTTTCTTATAATTCAATTATACGGTTCTTTTGCTTTTGTACTTCAGTTACAAATTCTAATTTTGTGTTCGATTTATCAAAAAAAGGCGATCAACAGGCTCGTTTTATTTCAATTTAGCAAATGAAATCATCTATGTTTCTGTACGTTTTTGCCACGTTTTCAGCCGAAGAGCCTGGACCGTTGCTGTCGCTTCGTACGTGATATGATTTTGTTAATGATGCGTATAGTTTTGCGCCAACTTACTTTACGCACGCGCATTGACATTCAGCGAGTGGGTTAGCTCCCCTGATTCCGTTTACATGGATAATTTCAATCCCACATGACGTGGATCTCACATGTCCTTCTCGCGGATCTCACATGGGAGACTGGCCCACTCTCAAATGCAAATACGGATACCAAAAGGATGTATAAAAAGCATGTTAACCAGACCCCTTAAGCGGACAAGCCCGCCTCATGTAAACAGGCCCTTTGTGAGCCAAAAATGATTTTGTGCGTTTCAAATTGTCCATATGTGGACGGTTTAAATTGTAATTTTTTTAATTCTACTGGGTTGTCAAAGTTCATTGCACCCCGTGCAGGGGCGTCGCAACCGTGGGGTTTAGGGGGTGTCATCCCCCTCCCAACAGTATCTCAATAGGAAATTTAAGGTAAAATTCGCTCGGTGGAAGAAACGCTTTAGGTATTTCAGAGACCCTCTTGCCATAAAATAAATAAAGGATCAAGAAAAGTAGTTTTTTCGTTGGTTAAATATGATATTCCTTGATATGAATTTAGGTAAACAAACTAATGATTTGAAGATTTGAAGATTTCTTGTTGGCACAATATCTATAAATCCAGGCCCTTATTTGGTAGAATTGTGTCTTGTGTCCATTTCCCTTAAAGTTTCTCGGTAGAAGCGTCAACTGCAATTCACTATGAGCTTCAGATTTTTTTAACATTCTAAAGGCATACTAAGATGGAAAGAGGGAGCTAAATCTGCTTGTTAACTAGTTTTAGAAGTAACTGACAACATCGTATTTATCAAGACCACGGCGAAATTGTACCAGTAGTTTCTATCTGCTGTTCAATTTGTTTGCAAAATAAAAATAATCAATAGGGTTATAAGGATTGCTTTAGTGAAATGTTCTTGTAGGCTGATTTCCACGAGGCGAAGTTCCCATCGAATTCGCTGCGAATTCTCTTCGAAATTGTCTTTTGATTTCCACGGGACTGCGAAATCGCTGCGAAAGAATAGATTGATTTTCCCCAAAACTCAGCTTTAAGGCGCCCATTTTCAGAACTGCCTGCATGGTGAATGCTCTAAGATGGTCTCCTTATGAATCAAGCAAATTTACAATGCCTCGACTCGTTATTAGGTGCTGCAAAATATTTAGCCGCGAAAAAGTAGAACTCTTTTCTACTTTCTTTTGAATTCGTTGCGAAATCAAAAATCAAAACTGTGCATGCCTTGATACCTTCTTCAGCGACTTCGCCAAGAAATCGATGCGAAATTCGCCGCGTGGAAATCAGCCTCAAAAGATTGCATTTTCCGGGGAACTGAAAGCATTAAAATTCGAGAATTTCCGCTCATTAGGCGGAAACCATGGCATTCGGCGGCATTCGGCTTCGGGTAGTAAAAATATCCTTTGCCCGTCCTGATATACAGGAACTATAAGGAAAGTCCGTTATTACCATAAAAAATGAAAGTTGCGAAACATATACAGAGCTAGATCTACAAAATATATTGCAGAGGTTGGTGAAAGCAACTAAAGAAGTCTAGGCTATAATTTTTACTTAGGTAAATTTTTAGTCTATACAACCGACCACCCCCACGAAGGAAGACTTGGCTCCCAACGTCCCTGACCCCGTGGTATCGACCTTATTATATTCGAATGTTTCTTGTACTTAGCGATATTAGTAAGGTTCTTATTGTCCTTTTTTATTCATTTGAAAATACCAACCAAAGTAGTCATCACCTTAAACTCAGAGGTCCCCTTAACGACAGACCTTCCCTTAAAGAAATGTGCATGAGGAAAATGTGACAACTTGGTAATATGATTATCAATATATGAGTGTCTACGAAATCTGACAATTGTTCTTATGAATAAACCTCTAGCTCGCAAAGCTCTATTATCGTTGAAGACTCAGCCAACACAATGACATAACGGCCGTACATTATCGAAGGACATTCCAAACTGAGGTATTGGTTTTTGTGGATAAAACTGGCCCCATCAACACATTTCGCATTCTTCAAACTCATGCCGACGCGAACATCAAATGGGTTCATTCGATTCCAGTAGTAAGGGATATCTCTGTTTTGCAAAGCAACTGATCGAACAGGATGTGTCTGTTGAAGATCAACGCGAAACCAAGGACTAGGTGAACTCAGATGTTTTGTAATGGCACAGGTGCTGTGCACCGCTTCTAAGCTACCATCAACTGCGTTGGCTGCAAATGTACTGCCATCATATTGTGTTGATAATTCCGCTGGCTTGTTTAATGCTATATTGTTGCTCGCTAAAAGAGTTCGAATAAGTCACTTGAAATGAAAGACATTTAAGAAGACAAATTGTTTAAGAAGTTGGTGGAGGAGCATATGTAGGTTAAAAGGAACACATCCGTGAGTTGCAATTGAGTACATTGCCTCTTTTATTGGCGGTATTATATGAAACTATGGATATGCGTTCACTTCTGTCGGCTATATATTTGCCAGAAAAGCTTTCCAGGCTTTTGTTTCAACATGAGAAGCACAGTCCGGGCTTTTAGTATGGAAAATAGAAAGAAATTTAAAAATCACACAGACCCTTCCTCCAAACGGCAGAGAATACATTTTTAAATTTATTTGAAATTTTAGAGTTAGAGGGTTGTTCACATGAACATATTATTTTTCAGAGCCTTTTTCTTCAATGCCTACTAATAGCATCCTTTTCCCAACTATTGAGGCGTTTAAGTGTCACGAAATGTAAAATTTACCGACATATGCAAAAACAAAGAAAATTTTTCGCTCATTTCAGCCAACGTCAAGCTATTTACCGACCAACTAAAGATTTTGAAATAAACCAATGTTAAATTTGCAGATGATATGTTTCCCATGAGGATCGACCAAATTTCTTTCAAAAACCCAATATGGAAAAGATCTGTCTAGTATCTAGCTACTAATAAAAGAAAAGTTTTAAAAGAAGTCAATATAACACTTTGTTTCTGATCAACAAATCTTTTTGAAACTCAGGGTCTAAATTTGCTAAACGAAAGACACAATTGTTTCCTCATACGTAGCTCCAAGCTTGTGATGCCCAGTTGCAAGGTAACTCGATTGCGATTGCTCCAAGATGGATATTTTGCTTTCTTATTTAGTTTGGTGCCAAAATTGAATAACTAATCGACACCCGCCAATCCTTGCCACGAGAACATGGAAACTATTGGGATGTTACACCCGTGCCAGACGAGCTTCTAAATGAACCTTATCCTATTTCTTTGCTGACTTTTCTGCAATTTTAGTTCAAAGAGATCCATTAATGCAAAATGCTGATCTTTAAGACAAGCTAAGAGAGCATATTAATTTATAGCTGCAACTGAATGGTCGGAATAAAAAACTTAGAAAAGAAAGAGATGCATTTTTACATTTTGTGATTTTTTCCTGAAAGTTGTTCAGATCCCTTCTCCAATTTCTGATGCTAGAAAACATCTTTACCGTTGCTAAGAAAAATAAATACCTACCAACGCATTGAAGTTCATCATTCAGTCTGTATTCAAAGCTGCAATCGATGCACATAAAGCCTGGGCACGAGCACGTGTCAATGCAGTACCCTGGCTGTCTGCATGGCTTGGATAACTCGCAGTAAGAACCAATCTAGAAAAACAACAAATTGATTACTTCTCAAATGCAAAAAGTTGAAAAAAAACTCGGATTTTTACAACCGATATGAAAATTTACGTCTTGTCTCAACAGTTTGATGAATCGTTTTACTTTCATAAACTTACATTTTTCTTGTTGTAATTTGTAGCATAATAGGTCCAGCCAACTCTGTTCCTGAAATCTGCCGGGTCAGCACTCCCATTTATTTGATTGTTCAGCTCACAGTTATCGTCACCAGATACTTTATAATTTACAGACTTACATCCGTCACTAACTCTGCAATTTTCAAAACAATCTTCCAAACTTGAAGCGGTCAATGTTGCAAGCAATTGATTATAAAGTGCGTAGCCTGGAGATGCAACATCAAACACTCCCTCTACTTTGCATGGCAGACGCAAAATCCAAGAACCAGCACGTCTTAGGAACAACGCTAGACTGAAATAGAATGAATAAATTAGTTAGAAAATATCCAAAGATTCAAAACTGCAAAGTTTCATGTCATGGTGGTCGTTCTATGCCTCAATATCAGAGTCAAAAATAGTTTCGAATGCATCCTGATTTGCACACCAAAACAAGTACAGCACTGTTTACACCGTAACAAGGACACGGCAACATAGGCGTGAAAACAATCCTGACAGTTTGGTCCAAATCTTTCGGTACAAAGTGAAGATAAACAAACCAGTTTATATATTTAATGACAGTAACGATCTTTCGATACTTACTATATATGTGAAAGAAGAAGACATATTATTTGAATTTCCATTTATTTCTGCAGTTCCTTACTCCTCAAAATTTCATCACAGAATAGAACGAATTGTCTTTCTAAAACTTATTAAAGGAAAGGAATTGATTTTCTGTTTTCTACAGCAGGTATCAAAACATTGACATTAATGAATACATTTTGAATGAAATAGCAGCTATTCAGATCCAAATTTAATGAATTAATTTCTTATCAGCATTTGTTATTGCATATGAATATCTTCGGCAGGTGACTTACGCAGGCGAAATGTCATTATGATTCAATAAACATTAATGAGTTTTGGCGGTTATGTATTTGAGAGTAGCAGAATAATTTTATCACCTCCTTGTCAAAAGTTCAACGTTTGGATCATAAAGTAAAAAATTAGGGAGTAGCGATATAGGCGAAAGCTAATGAACAGAACAGTGAATCAACAAACTAAAACAAACTGTTAAACAGTTGCACTTCTTACACCCTAATAATTTAATAACAAATTAAGAAAAATTCCTAATAATTTAAGAAAAAATTAAGAACAGTTAGACTGAGCATCAATTTACTGGTTCTTAAGAAAAATAGTGTAGCTCGAAGATGGATCATTTTAAGATATAGTTGAAGCCTTTTTCTTCTTCTAAGGTTATTGTACCTCCAGGATGCTGGCGATCATGGTTCTTTGAGCTTAGACATCCGTCAATTAGTCTGCAATTTTCAAAACAATCTTCCACCCTTGAAGCGGTCAATGTAGCAAGCAATTGATTATAAAGTGCGTAGCCTGGAGATGCAACATCAAACACTCCCTCTACTTTGCATGACAGACGTAGAATCCATGAAAAATGACCTGGGCAGACGAATTGTCATTAGTATTCAAGAGAAAAAAATATGAATTTTTCATGTTATGTTTTTGTCCGTCATTTTAATTCCAGTCTAATGCAATTTATTTACAATCAGCATAATCTTTTGGAGATGTATATCTTCGGCAGGTCACCTGGGCAGACGAATCGTCTTTAGTATTCAAGAAAAATATACTATGAATTTTGCCTGTTTTGTATTTGTCCGCCATTTAAATTCAAGTCTAATGCAATTCATTTACAATCATCATTAACTATTGGCGATGAATATCTTCGGGAATGACCTGCGCAGTGGAAAGTTTATCACAATTCAATAAAAACTTACAAATTTTGGTGGTTATGTATTCAACAGTAGCAAGATAATTCTATCTCCTCTTTCTAAAACCGGTAATTAGCAAAGTCATCTAGCAACTTGCCCAACCAAAAGCTCAAAGTTTAAATCATAAAGTAAAAAGCAACTGGTCAGTTGGAAACATTTAATGTTTTTGACAGTAGCAAAATAATTTTATCTCCTTTTTTCATACCGGTTATTTGCATAATCACCTAGCAACCTGCCTAACGAACATTTCAAAGCTTAAATCATAAATTAAAAAGCAACTAATCACTTTAAGCCATGAAAACATTTTAAACAACAGTTATAAACTTCACAATTTACCAATCAGTAATTGCAGATTCAGTATGTAGCACAGGACGCTTGGGAGACCACCAGATCTCCCCAGTTTTTCTCCAAAAGTTTCCCCAAGATTTTATAATCCTTCTCTTCCTTATAGCTAGCATTTTGCCTCTATGCACAGTAAACATAAACACCGACCTCGGCCGATCATACACCAATGCAAGGATTTAATTCAATTAGAATATGCAAATTTTCAATCTCTCTCATAGACCGTCCTCAATAACATCATATGCAAAATCAGATCGAGAAATAAAACAAAGATCTTGGATTGCAAAAACAGCATTTCAATATCTGTTAAATGGACTCACTGCAAGAAATATCAACAAACTAAACTGGACTTCAAACTAAACTAAATATTAACAATCAAACTGAACTTAGAATCAAGTGCTATATAAGGAGTACAATGATGTATGGATGATATTTAGATCGGCTAATGAGGGTGGACTATGAAGAAGCAACTCGAAGCGAGAGAAATGCGGTTTTTACAGAGAATGGCGAAGATCTCCTGGATAAAGTAAGTGACGAGTGAAAACGTATTGAGAAGAGTACATACTGAAAGAAGAAATATATGAAGCAAATAGTGCAGAGACAACTTATGCTTTTAGAACACTTACTAAGGAAAGAAGGCAAAGAATATGAAAGTCTTTTTTCCCATTTGTCGGACGCCACTGAGTTAGAATTTTTTTTCACGAACGATGGTGAAAACGAAGTTAATCCAAGAACCGAAAATGATGATGATGATGATGATGATGATGATGATGATGATGATGATGATGATGATGATGATGATGATGATGATGATGATGATGATGATGATGATGATGATGATGATGATGATGATGATGATGATGATGATGATGATGATGATGATGATGATGATGATATGATGATGATGATGATGATGATGATGATGATGATGATGATGATGATGATGATGATGATGATGATGATGATGATGATGATGATGATGATGATGATGATGATGATGATGATGATGCCCACGATAAAGATAATTATGAACATGAGGTAAATTAGAAAAATGACGTAATTGACATTGAGTTGATTAAAGGATCCATAAATTTTGTTTCCTGTCCTCATGTGATTTTTTTTCTATTTGAATGGTCAAAAGTCTTAAATGCAAAATATTTCATCGTGACTAAATTTCGTTTCATTTCAAAATAAGTCGAAAAAAAAAATTTCGTCAAAATATTTGTCCGAAATTTGGTCAGGATGAAAGATTTGTAGCTAATTAACCGAAAGCTGAAAACCAGTAGTTTTGGCAAGAAAGACTACTTCACTTACTGCTAAAACCTTTGGGTATAGTACAATAAACATCTCTAAGCAATTCTCCTTGCTCTAAAAGAAATACGGTTTAATATAAAACTGCAGAGATTCATTGCTTGGTGGTCGTATTATGCCTCAATATCAGATTAAAAAAGAAGTTTAAAATTTATCTTGATTTGCACACTGAAGTAAGTACAGCACTGTCTACACAGTACCAAGGACACGGCAATAGAGGCGTGACATTAATCTTCTTTACACTCTGATTACAGCTTTGTCCCAAACTTTTGGTACAGAGTAAAGTTAAACAAACAAATTTATATATTCAACGACAGTAACAATCTTTCGATACTTACTATAATAGTGAAAAAAGAAAACAGAATTTTTGAATCTTCATTTTTTTTCTGCATACTTTCACTACTCAAAATTTTATCACAGAATAGGATGATTCATCTTTGTGAACCTTAATAAGGGAACTGAGTTGATTTTCCTGTTGTTATAGCAGGTATCAAAAATTGCTTTTAACACATACATTGTGAAGTAGATAGCCTCAATTTAGATTCCAATCTAATGCAATTCATTTCTAATCTATCTAATACAACTCATTTACAATTAGCATTCTCTAATGCACACGAATATCTTCGGCAAGTGACCTGCAAAGGCGAATGGTCATGAAAGTTAAAGAAAAATATAATATGAATTTTGCCTGTTTTGTATTTGTCCACCATTTAAATTCAAGTCTAATGCAATTCATTTACAATCATCATTTACTATTGGGGATAAATATTGGGGAAAATATGCGCAGACGAATCGACTTTAGTATTCAAGAAAAATATATTATGAATTTTGCCTGTTTTGTATTTGTCCGCATTTTAGATTCAAGTCATTTACAATCAGCATATACTTTTCGAGATGAATATCTTCGGTATTGATCTGTGCAGTGGTAAATTTATCATGATTCAATAAAAATTTACAAATTTTGGTGGTTATGTATTCAACAGTAGCAAGATAATTTTATCTCCTCTTTCTAAAACCGGGAAATAGCAAAGTCATCTAGCAACTTGCCCAACCAAAAGTTCAAAGTTTAAATCATAAAGTAAAAAGCAACTGGTCACTTGGAAACATTTAATGTTTTTGACAGTAGCAAAATAATTTTATCTCCTTTTTTCATACCGGTTATTTGCATAGTCACCTAGCAACCTGCCTAACGAACATTTCAAAGCTTAAATTATAAATTAAAAAGTAACTAATCACTTTAAGTCATGAAAACATTTAAAGCAACAGGTATAAACTTCACAAAATACCAATCAGTAATTGCAGATTCAGTATGTCGCACAGGACGCTTGGGAGACCACCAGATCTCCCCAGTTTTTCTCCAAGAGTGTCCCCAAGATTTGATAATCCTTCTCTTTCTTATAGCTAGCACTTTCCCTCTATAAACAGTAAACATAGCCACCGATCTCGGCCGATCATACACCAATGCAAGGATTTAATTCAATTAGTAAGTGACGAATGAAAACGTATTTAGAAGAGTATGCTTCATGCTTTTAGTTCACTTACTAAGGAAACAAGGGAAAGAATAACAATTGGTAGCTGCTTTAATAGAAGGGAAAATAGGGGGTTGTTTGTTTGATTGATTGTTTGGGGGTTATTTTAATGTCAGCCAAAAGAAGACATTACTTATAATTAGTTCTATAATGGTGAATTTGGTCTTTAAGATAATTATTTTTGGAAGCCTAAAAACTTTAAACATTTCTTTTTGTTGGGAGAAAAAAACCTACAATATTTGCTATACTTTGAAATGTTCTAAACGCTTTAGGCTGTTTTGTCGCAAAGAAAGAAAAAATGGAAACTAAAAGATATTATTCTTCATTATTTTCTTCATCAATGAAACTTAGTTTATGACGCCAATTGTCTTTACACTGTGTTAGGCCTTGCCTTGTTAGGCAGTTGATAAAGTAAAAATGAAGAAGTATTTAGAGATCTGAAAGCATTAGAAATTGATTCAAAGGATTTTCAACTTATAAAGAGCTTATGTCGTGATCAGAGCGCAGTCATTAGAATTGATAGAGATATCAGCAAATCGACCTTAGTTATAAACGGTATAAGGCAATGATCTGCGCTAACCTCACATCTTTTTAATCTACACAGTGAAGTTATTCCGAGGGACAATATGGCCAGTGTGGAAGATAGTGGGGTCATTATCAACAACTTGAGACATGCAGATGACACTGTAAAAACAGCCTTTCAAAATATTCCGAATAAGGCTGTGTCAGAAAGTAAATCGAAAGGTCTGCAAATTGATAAGAAAAAGCAGAATGTTTGGTTTTATCGAATAAAAAAGAAACGTTCCTTATATATCAACGGCGTAGCAGTAGCAATTGTTGGAAAGTTTACTTATCTAGGCAGCTTGATAACATTAGATTGAAAGTGTGTAACTTAAATAGAGAAAAGAGTTTGCAACAAGCAGAATGCTGTATTTAATAACAGGCAGCTAAAAGTGGAAAATAAGATCAAAGTTTCAATATACATTTAGTGAAAGAAAGATTTAAGGAAGTATGAAATCAGTGGAAATCTGACCCTTGAGAATAATCGTTACATTGCAATTTTACTGACAGAGTTGATAATGAAGATGTTTTGAGAAAAGCAGGAGTAAAAAGTAACCTTATGAAAGATATAAGAAAAAGAAAGCTGTAGTTTTTGGGGCAAGTAGTGAGATCCTAGGAAATGGAAAAATTTTGTGCTAACAGGAAAAAAAGAGGAGGGAAGAATAAGTGGAAGACAGAAGCAGAAGTACATTACAAGATCAAGCATCGACTTCAACACTGGCAGAAGAGATTCAGAAATGTTGGCATTGTCAAGGGTCAAAGAACCATGATCGCCAGCATCCTGGAGGTACAATAACCTTAGAAGAAGAAAAAGGCTTCAACTTTATCTTAAAATGATCCATCTTCGAGCTACACTATTTTTCTTAAGAACCAGTAAATTGATGCTCAGTCTAACTGTTCTTAATTTTTTCTTAAACTATTAGGAATGGTTCTTAATTTGTTATTAAATTATTAGGGTGTAAGAAGTGCAACTGTTTAACAGTTTGTTTTAGTTTGTTGATTCACTGTTCTGTTCATTAGCTTTCGCCTATATCGCTACTCCCTAATTTTTTACTTTATGATCCAAACGTTGAACTTTTGACAAGGAGGTGATAAAATTATTCTGCTACTCTCAAATACATAACCGCCAAAACTCATTAATGTTTATTGAATCATAATGACATTTCGCCTGCGTAAGTCACCTGCCGAAGATATTCATATCCAATAGCAAATGCTGATAAGAAAATAATTCATTAAATTTGGATCTGAATAGCTGCTATTTCATTCAAAATGTATTCATTAATGTCAATGTTTTGATACCTGCTGTAGAAAACAGAAAATCAATTCCTTTCCTTTAATAAGTTTTAGAAAGACAATTCGTTCTATTCTGTGATGAAATTTTGAGGAGTAAGGAACTGCAGAAAAAAATGGAGATTCAAATAATATGTCTTCTTCTTTCACATATATAGTAAGTATCGAAAGATCGTTACTGTCATTAAATATATAAACTGGTTTGTTTATCTTCACTTTGTACCGAAAGATTAGGACCAAACTGTCAAGAATGTTTTCACGCCTCTGTTGCCGTGTCCTTGTTACGGTGTAAACAGTGCTGTACTTGTTTTGGTGTGCAAATCAGGATGCATTCGAAACTATTTTTGACTCTGATATTGAGGCATAGAACGACCACCATGCCATGAAACTTTGCAGTTTTGAATATTTGGATATTTTCTAACTAATTTATTCATTCTATTTCAGTCTAGCATTGTTCCTAAGACGTGCTGGTTCTTGGATTTTGCGTCTGCCATGCAAAGTAGAGGGAGTGTTTGATGTTGCATCTCCAGGCTACGCACTTTATAGTCAATTGCTTGCAACATTGACCGCTTCAAGTTTGGAAGATTGTTTTGAAAATTGCAGAGTTAGTGACGGCTGTAAGTCTGTAAATTATAAAGTATCTGGTGAGGATAACTGTGAGCTGAACAATCAAATAAATGGGAATGCTGACCCGGCAGATTTCAGGAACAGAGTTGGCTGGACCTATTATGCTACAAATTACAACAAGAAAAATGTATGTTTATGAAAATAAAACGATTCCTTTAACTGTTGAGACAGGATTTAAATTTTCATATCGGTTGTAAAAATCCGAGTTTTTCTTTCAATTTTAAGCATTTGAGAAGTAATCAATTTATTGTTTCTCTAGATTGGTTCTTACTGCGAGTTATCCAAACCATGCAGACAGCCAGGGTACTGCATTGACACGTGCTCGTGCCCAGGCTTTATGTGCATCGATTGCAGCTTTAAATACAAACTGAATGATGATTTTCAATGCGTTGGTAGGTATTTATTTTTCTTAGCAACAGTAAAGATCTGTTCTAGCATCAGGAACTGATGAAATGATCTGAACAACTTTTTGGAAAAGTCACAAAATGTAAAAGTGCATCTCTTCTCTTCCTAAGTATTTTTATTCTGCCCATCCAAATGCAGCTATAAATTAATATGCTCTCTTAGCTTGTCTTAAAGATCAGCATTTTGCATTAATGGATCGCCTTGAAATAAAATTGCAGAAAAGTTAGCAAACCAGAAGGATAAGGTTCATTTAGAAGCTCGTCTGTCACGGGTGTAACATCCCAATATTGCAAGTGAGGGGGGACATGTTTATATTGTTCAGGGGTTTAGTGAAAGCCGCCACCATGGTTGGCGGCGAGAAATATTTTGAAATATGACATTCTAAGAATGGCCAGAAAATACATTTAAAATATCTATAGCATCGATAAGAAAGAGCTTTTTCAAAATTAATAGCCCATTGGCTGGATTTTAAAATGACAAATTTTCTCTTCTGCTAACAAAACAAGAATTTTCTATCTATATACATCATAATTTGTTTATAATTTCATGCATATAAAGTTTACAATGCGTTTAAATCTGTCAGTTTTCTCTTTTCATTTGATTTCGCAGAAGTTGCAAACGAGTCACATTACATCCTTGTAGCTTGCTCTTAGGTCTGCAATGCTTAATTTTAGTTTCAGTAGGGATGAGGATTCTTCGCATCTCAGATATGCTTTCATTTCAAACTTACCATCCCTCATGGATTTGGGCTTAGTTTCTTATTCTTTTCAACTTTATTTTTTATCAACAAATTTTCTATTATTATGATCTAATTCCCTTACAGAAGGAGACTAGGAACTGTTGGAAAAACCCAGTTCCAAGATTCAGCTTTTAGCTTTCGATAAATAAGTAAATGTTTCATCATTTTGTTACTACTGACTACCAAAAGGTGTTTTAACTGAATCGAAGCAAAATTTTCGAAGAAAACAAAAATTTCGAGGAGAGTCACGCCCCTAACACCCCCCGGTAAAGCAATCCTGACAATTGGTCCGCAAAATCTTCAGTTGTTCTGTAAAATGGCTTGATGGGGGGGGGGGGAATGAGACCAAATATGGGAGCATACTCCTTATAATCGGGAAAGGGTTGCTATTCAAGAAAAATTTTGAATTCAAGAAAAATGTTTTTTGCTGTTTGGAGGAAGGGATTGTGTGACTTTTTATATTTTTTGCTATTTTCCGAAACAAGAAGCCAGAACGGTGCTTCTCATGTTGAAACAAAAGCCTGGAAAGCTTTTCTGGCAAATATATAGACCGACAGAAGTGAACGCATATCCATAGTTTCATATAATACCGCCAATAAAAGAAGCAGTGAACTCAATTGCAACTCGCGGATGTGTTCCTTTTAACCTACATATGTTCCCTCTCTAACTTCTTGAATAATTTCAATGTATTTGATTTCAAGTTACTGATTTGAATTTTTTTAGCAAGCAACAATATAGCATTAAACAAGACAGCAGTACAATCGACACAATATAATCAGTACACACTAGCATCCTACGGAGTTGATGGTAGCTTTGGGAGGATTTACACACACTGTGCAGTTACAAAAAGTCAGGATTTTCCTCCATGGTTTCGTGTTGATCTACAACAAAAACTTCCTGTTCGTTCAGTTGCTTTGCACAACAGACAAGACTGTTGCTGTTGCTGGAATCGAATGAACCCATTTGATGTTCGCGTCGGCATGAGTCTGGAGAATGATGGTAGAGTGAATCCTAAATGTGTGGATGGGGCCAGTTTTATCCACGGAAACCAATACCTCAGTTTGGAATGTCCTTTGATAATGTACGGCCGTTATGTCATTGTGTTGGCTGAGTCTTCAACGATAATGGAGCTTTGCGAGCTAGAAGTTTATTCATAAGAACTATTGCCAGATCTCGTAGACACTCATAAATTGATAAACATATTGCCAAGTTTACACTGTTTCCTCATGCACATCTCTTTAAGAGAAGGTCTGTTGTTAAGGGGACCTCTGAGGTTAAGATAATGGAGCTTTGCGAATTAGAAGTTTATTCATAAGAACAAAGATTTCGTAGACACTGATATATTGATAAACATATTACCAAGTTTGCACTGTTTCTTCATCTCTCGCAAGGAGAGGTGTGTCACAAAGGGGGTCTCTGAGTTTTAGGTGATGCCTGTTTTGGTTGGTATTTTAAAATCAATAAAAAAGGAAAATATAAACCTTACTACAATACAAGATACAAGAAACATTCGAAGATAATAAGGACGATATCACAGGGTCAGGGTCGTCGCGAGGCAAGTTTTGCTAGATGGGAGGGGCGGGCTGTATGAACTAGAAATTTACCTAATAAAAAAATTATTGCCTGAAATTCAGGGGCAGATTTAAGCAACAATGATTGGAGGGGGGGTTAGACACTAAATTTTGTGCCGCGCCCTTCAGGTCACTGATAAATGATGGAAACGTTGAAATCAAATATCTAAAATATTAACAGTATTCAAAAGTTTTAAACCATGTCCGTTTTCCTTGGAGCAAGTCCACGAGAAGCATCTCTGAATCCAGGACGGGCAGAAGCATCAGGACGGGCAAAGGATATAGTTGCTACCCGAGGCGGCACCATGGTTGTCGCCAAATGAGCAGAATATTCTCGAATTTTAATGCTTTCAATTCCACAACCCGTAGGGCGCACAACCCAAAGATTGGGGGATAGGATAAAACAGCATGTTCCTTCCAACATACGAAACAAAACTGCCCCTCAAAGAGAACAGCCTCCTCGATCTTGTAGGTCTAGAAACACTGTTAAAACAAGTGATTCTGCCATTGGTCAACATCTTTTAGACAACCCAGATTGTGCAAAACTCTATAATGACGACATGTTTCGGATAATTGGCAGAGCCCGGTCGTCCTTCCATCTAGCAGTTTTGGAGTCAATCTACATAAAAACGAAAAAGCCGCCATTGTGTAGACAAAAGGAGTTCTTTTTCTCTCTTTGACTCCATTGGTAATTTTTCTTTAGGCTCGCGGCACTGATTGGTCAACTATACCGGTCTTGTGCTTGCGTTTTTCTGATTGGCCTATTTCGATCCACAACTGGGTATATATTTTTCAAACGTGTTTTTTTCGGAACCTATTCTGACGTTTTATGCTCTGAGGAGTGTCAGACGAAAAAGCTTTAAGTATGTTGTAAAATGTTTGCTTTTTTCAAAGCCATTTTCAAATTCTGTACCGCAAAAAAATTGCTTTCAATTCCAGGGAAAATGCACTCTTTCAAGCACATTTCACTAAAGCAACCCGCTTTATTCTATTTAGAATTCTTATCTTCCAAAATTGAACAGCAGATAAAAACAACTGGTACAATTTCACCGTGGTCTTGAAAAACACCATATTGTCAGTTACTTCTAAAACTAGTTAGCAAGCAGAATTGGTTGTCAATTTAGATCCCTCTTTCCATTTTAGTATGCCTTTAGAATGTTAAAAAATCTGAAGCTCATAGTGAATTGCATTTGACGCTTCTACCGAGAAACTTTAAGGGAAATGGACACAAGACACAATTCTACCAAATAAGGGCCTGGATTTATAGATAATGTGCCAACAAGAAATCTTCAAATCTTCAAATCATTAGTTTGTTTACCTACATTCATATCAAGGAATATCATATTAAACCAACTGAGCAACTACCTTTGCTTGATCCTTAATTGATTTTATGGCAAAGTATTTTTCAGGAAAATTGTGACTGAAATGTGTTTTAAATCAATTTTTTTAAAGAGCTCCAAACGCTTGATGCTGTTTTCTCCTAAAGGAAAGAAAAATAGGAGCTAAAAGGTAGTACTCCTCGTCATTTTCTTCATCAATGAAACTCAGTTTATGACGTCATTTGTCTTAACACCGTGTTAGGCCTTACCTTGTTAGGCAGTTGATGAAGTACAACATGAGGAAATATTTAGAGATCTTAAAGTTTTTGAAATTGATTCAAAGGATTTACAGCTTATAAAGAGCTTATGTCGTGATCAGAGTGCAGTCATTAGAATTGATAGAGATATCAGCAAATCGACATTAGTTATAAACGGTATAAGGCAATGATCTGTGCTAACCTCACATCTTTTTAATCTAAACAGTGAAGTTATTCCCAGAGAAAATAAAGGTGGTGGCAGAACTTGGGAATATCCACTTATGACGTCACAAAATAAGCAAACGTCAGCAAACTCAATTACATGATACATCAAGTTAAAGCTCTTGAAATGCGCAGTCACATACAACCTAGATTTGCTAAATTGTACACTTTATTTTTAATATATAACGGATTTATTTCTGTTTTTGCCATTGTTGATCACGTCACCAATCACGTGATACAGAGGCAAAATCTTTTTGGTCCCATCTTGGATTCTGAATCTCCATACTCGAAATTATATAAAACCATCAAAGTCATCTCGGTTAGGTGAGAAATCAGATTTTCACAGCCATAGCCCTGCCTACAACTCAGAAGGTACATAACCCTCAAAAGAAGGGGAGGCTAACACTTTATCATAAAATGATCCATCTTCGAGAAATACAATTTTTTTAAGAACCAGCAAATTAATGTTCAACCTGGCAGTTCTTGCATTTTATACAAATTTTTGGCTCGATCCTTGATCGTGTTTTATTAGGGTGCAATTTTACTTAAATTAGGGTGCAATATTACTTAAATTATTAGGGTGCAAGCAGGGCCGCTGAGAGGATTTATGGGCCCGGGGTCATGACGAGAGAGAAACAGAAGTGTAAAACCACTTCAAAGGGGTTTTACCAATGTGAGTTCGTTGTAGACAGAAATGCTCGAAAATACGACAACCGCGGATAAAATCAAAATTCTTCTTTTTACGGCAATGATTCGACTAACGGCGGAAAACAACAAGTTCAACAAATAACGACACGGCTTTAACAAGCACAACAAAACTAGCGACAGAACTTCTAGCAGTACGGCAAAACTTTCGACAAGACTACTTCTAACTTATAAAACAACCCTTTATATTCTCAAAGCAAACCTTAAAATAACAATTACGTAATACAAAAGTACCAAAAGTACCTGAAATTTCAGATAGGTTCTGAGCTATATAAATTTACCTGTCTACCTAATATCCTGTCACCAAGACCTAGAAAATTCTCAAAACTACTAAAAGCATCCTCAGCATCATTAAGGAAATAAGGTCACATTGTTTGTGCTTTCATAGATGACCTTATCAAGAATGGGGATTCCTATAAAGATTGTGTTATAATTGTTCTAGAAACAATTTCAATGATACACAGCTTAGGATTCATTATTCACCCAGATAAATCTTGCCTGATTCCTCAACAAAAATTCTTTTCCTTGGGTTTATAATTGACTCCACAAAAATGACAATCACCCTCACCCAGGATAGAAAAACTAACATAATAAAGTGTTGTGAACATCTGCTAAAGGTTGTACGACCCAGAATAAGGGAAGTAGCAAGAGTGATTGGAATGTTTACATCCAGTTTCCCAGCTGTTAAGTAGCTTACTATACTAATACTATACTGCTTTGGAAGGACAATTCGACGCTTCTCAGAAAAAGCTGATTATTGTTTATTGGGAAAAATCGAGGAGAGGAGGTGTCATGCTAAAACTCAAGTGACAGACGTTGGAGAAAGAAAAAAAACGTGACCTTTCGTTTCTGATTGCACATCGACGTAAATAAGTTAGTAAATAAACCAAACCAAATCGGTATCTAAAAACCTTGTTTTCCTATTTTCATACACTATTTTAAGGAGTAAAAGAAAAAAACGGAAAAAATTGTTTTCTTGAAAAAGTGGGGAACTTACAACTTAAATTGCTCTGTATGGACTCAACCTTGCACTAAACATATGCATCAATTATCGTTGCATTTTCCGTTAGCTTGAATGCAATGTCAGGAAGAGAAGGTCATCGCAAATGTGCTATACAGTATCTATTTCAAAATTCCTAAACGGCTTTTTTACGAACTTCAGGGGTGGCGTTCCTGCACTGCAAAAAATTATTCATTATGCCCTGCAAAAGCTTCGACTGCCTTGCGAAATCGATTATTTTTTAGATTGGGGGTAGGGGTGTCACATAATTCCCCCCACCCCCGGGATTTTTACCCCTGATCGGCTAAGTTGTGTTGTGAGTTTTGAACGAGAAGTGCAAATCAGAAATCGACTTTGAATTTTCGCAAAACGCAAGATCAAAATGAGGCTTGTTGTGTCTCTTTTTGTTCTTTGCCGGCTTCCCTATCAAGTCTTTTTTCTATGTTCTTTGGTTTACACGACGAGGATCCAATCCGATATACTTTCGTACCACTTTTGCGGATTGAAGCCACTCCGCTCCGAAAGTGGTAAGAGACCAATCCGATTTGTATCGGACTGGGCCAATTCAAGAAAAAGAAATGACTCAAAAACACTTTTGTTTTACTAGCCTGTTGATGCGACATATGCCCTTGTAAAACTAAGGAGAGGATTGAATGCGAGAATAGCATGAAGGTATTGGATGAGCCTTGGAAGATCGAAGGCTTGGGGGTGGAACTTATTTCAATGACTCACATCAATGCTCACATGGCAGGTAAATTAATGGCGCGAATCAAATACCAACGCAGAGGCCTCAAACAAATAACTACACCCCGCAGCGAGGAGTAACTACTGTCGTGTAGACAGGAGCCTTATCTGGTATGAAATCAACCCGACACGGTGCATTGAAACCGGGATCGTGTAAACACGGCCTCTGTTGGCCTAAAAATTGGTATCCAGAAATTCCCAAACAGCGTTGTTTTTGTTTCAAATAAGTAGTCATTCATGGGCTTGGCTACGAGATTATCAACTGATTAACTTGTTATGATCGATTAATCAGAAACGAAACAGGTGCATTCAAGGTGCATTTGAGGTTCTATGGTTTCTGGACCTTTCTTGACTGTCTTCATTCTTCGATCTCGACAGCTTTAAGACTTTTCAATTGATTTGAGTACATTTTTCTTGTTTCCAGTTCGATTGCTGTCCCTTCTGCATTATTTGTTGCTCTAACATTTGTGTCCTGCCAGCACTTGAACACTTCTACAGAACGTTTTATTTGTGGATGTATTCTAGCATACAGAAACGGGTTGATGCACCCATTAATGTAAAAAAGGCTTATCAAAAAATGGTAGGGATTTTTTGCGCTGGTTATAAAGCTGCAAACCATTTTTGGGTCTCTTGAAACTCGAACTGTTAAAGTTGTAGTAAAGATTGTTACTGGTGCAACGCATATGAAATAGAGGCTGATGACAACAAGAAAGTGTTGACAGATGCGTTTGTGCGAGGCCAGTCTTCTTTCTTGTGCAATGTTGTTGCTGATTTTGGGATGGTTTTGCTTCAATTGCCGAATACAGGTTGCATAGAGGCAGGTGATGCTGATTAATGGTAAAATGAATGAAAGATATTGCATAGAGTTTGTAATATACATATAAAGCACGAAATCGTCTTCTATGTAAATTGTTCGCGCCACTGTAAATGTGGTTGTGAAAAGAATTGAAGCTAGGGCGGCGAAGACCCTTGTTTTCAAGGTGATTCTTCGAAACTGTAATGGCTTTTTGATTGCCCTGGATAGAAAACAGAAATAAATATTTTAGTAAATATCAGTGATTTTGTAAAATATTTCTTAATTCATAAACGCACTCTTACTTTATTCTTTATAATTCCTTGAAGTTATTTCGGCATATTGTAGAAGCCTAGCGACCAGTCTGGGTTGAGTCCTTGTTGATCCGAAGAAATGAGCTAGGAATTGATAGCTTTTGCAAGAATTTCGCCTGGAAGAAGGCGACGAATATTTTACGTCCCAGAGGGAAATTTTCTCTTTTAACAAATTAATGAACTCTTCGGTTTTTTCGATTCTTTGACTCTTTGCAGCCTTTTCAGAATACAGCGCGATCAAAAAATTACCTGGTTGATCAATTGAAGCCCTTTAAGTGAAGTGCACATCATTAAAAACAATAGATTCGAGAGACGTTTGAAGAATACAATAGCAAAATGTTGGACGAAAGTTGAACACGTCCAACATTTTAAAAGGAAGTTTCACTTTGTGGAAAGAGCTGATTTCACACCCAATTTTGCGTTTACACTGTCCATTTTCCAGAATCCATTTAAATGCATGGTGTATTTCAGCCTTTGGACCTCAATTGGGACCAGTAAGGTTAATAGATTACGTATTAACATCATTGATGTTCCAAACTGTTCCAAACATGTTGGAATGGCTCCAGCAGGGCTAGTTTAGTTTGAGTCTGTACTCGTTAAGCCCTTAGCTCAATAGTCCTTTTGCAGTTTTTTCTACGGGTCCTAAACAACTAGTTAAAATAGTATATAATATAGTATTCCCATTTTTGTATAAGCAATTATTGTCATCAGTTAATATTAAGAATTTATAAGGTAATCACTACACATACATGCATTCAAACTTTAATTTGTATTTCTTGTTGTCTGAAGTGAAACGAAATAAAATGAATTTGAATAAATTCATACCTTTGCAAATGGGGTGAAGATTGAAAATTGCAAAAAGAAAAATTTCTTACCAATATCGCTCGATTGTGATGCAGAACATTATCCAACCCGATCCTTGCATCGCACCAATAAAAACTATATTAATAATGTGATTCAAATAGGGCGGTATTGGTAGTCTGTGTATATCTTTGAAGTTCTCTGTAGACCCGGCGAAGAATGTCATAATATCAAGTAGTGCCAGAGCAATAATGAAGACATCTGATTTCTTTGCTCGATTTTTGCATCCTGAAGCAAAAAACGTTTTAATTGTTTCCATGAAATGGTGAAACGTAAAATGTTATCTTCCCATTTAAAAGTTCTTTTCGTCCCGCGTTACTTAAATTCTTCGAAGATCAGTCTTTGATAAGGTTTTTTATCAATTTTATCTAAGCAACGATTATGAAACTTACCAAGCACGTAGATAACAAAACCATTAGTTAGCATTCCAAATACCATCATTGTTGCTATTAGAACGGTGAAAATTATTGTTTTCAATTCTCCATCTTCATTAACAGCTGAAGATCCGTATGAGAATGTCCCATATTCAAAAGATCGATTTTTGGATCGAAACAGATCAGCACAGATCATTTCGAAGGTCACTGGTTGTATGACGAGAAATTTGATCTCCGCTGAATATTTAAACGAGAAAAGCTCAGTTTAGTTATGAAAGCTGTTTAATTATACACTGTTGAAGTATGAAAACTGCAAATAAGTGTTTTCTTAATCATAATTGGCTTACTCCTATTAGTGATTTATATGATCAACAGAGCACATTTTCGTCCTTTTTTTACTACCTTTCAATTCAAATTGTTTACGCTGCTGCAGATGGTAAAAATGCTTGATGTCAGCCGCCAACGGGGCTGCATGATTTGCAAAGCATATTACGCTATGCTGCTGCTACTGTCATGTGCACATTGCTAATGCAAATGGCCGATTGTAGTTGCATACGTTTTCCTTAAAACTCCTACGTTGGTAAGGAGAACTGGAATCGCCTAATACTAAGCAAACTGGGAAACAAAGCTCTTACTTATGAATTTTTTCTTATATAAACGAAATTTAATTTTCTAGCTTCTCAAGTGCAGTCAATTTACTGAAGGCTTTAGACAGATCGTATACTTATTGTGACATTACAATGTAACAGACATTCCAACTTATGCTTCTTGACAGATAAAATTACAATAACTAATTGGACAAGTGCCAAGTGATGAAAAACATACAGTATCTGCATCTGCAATGGCTCAACATGCCCTTACGCTGGATTTAAACACTAAATATAAGCACTAATAGCTGCTGATGTGAGCACTTTTAGTAATCAGGTACAGTTTCTGCTGATTGCCGAAAGGGGGGGGGCTACTAAACAAATTGATAGTTCCCTTTCTCCACCCAATCACAGCTTCACCACCAATTTCAATAGAAACACCTTAATATCCTTTGCTAGTTGCTTTTTGCAGATTCTCATATAGCCTCCAGTATAAGTGTGGTACATAACATAAAATGCAAGATGAGGCGACATCACCATAAAAGAGCTTGAGACAACGTAGAAGGAAGGCAACTAGAACAGGTATAATGGAAACCTTTTTATAGGCAATTAGGGGAATTTGCCCCGGCCGAAATTAGGAAAGTTTCGCTGTTTTTCAAAGCAGGTCGCAAGGTAAAAGGAACAATTTTAGGTCATAGCCCCAAAAAGTAACTCCCACCCTACCACTCTCTTTGCTCGTTTCATATAGCGACTAAACATTTTAAATCCATTTTTTGGTTATGCATTTGGCAAAAAGAGCAACCCTGTAAATTGCAAAGGGACATTGTACTTGGATTATTTACAAGGTGTGGGGCACGTATGCCCTATTCTCCCGGGTCCTACATCTATGCTTTTAAAAAAAACCTTATTACTAGGTTACTGATCTTAAATGTTCCATGAAAAGGCTCCAATTTTGTCTGTAAACTATATACAAGGATGCTTTAAAGACACTCGGTGTCGGTCTTTATAGCGCAAGTGAAACATGTAACAATGTCCGTCCATAAAATTTATTAAATCCCGTACAATTTTTTAAGGTATGCGTGGGCCCCTTTGAAAAATGCACCACCACTCATAAACCCTTGAAAAGTTCCCTGGAGACGTCCATCCAAAAACTCATCAAATCCGTTCTGAAGGCATGCAGACTTTATCATGGACCAAAAGCATAAACCAATGTTCATTTAGAGAGTACAAGAAAATGAGCCTTACTGTACTGCAATTCAGCATGGTACCAGCAGAACTGGGACCGATTTTGGGTGTGATAGACAAAAATACTAAGCACAGGGCTAGGTCGGGACCGACTTTATCGCTATCAAATTTCAGCTGGGACCGGGTGGTGAAATTATTGGAGGGTGTCGCACCCCCTCCCCCCCCACCACCCCAATTATTTCCGCCCCTGAATATTAAGCTGGCTGAATAATCTTTCAAAGGACACTTGGAAGGTGTAACCAGATGTTATAAATGCTATAAATGCTTGAATTTTGACGCAACGGTTTTCATTATCAGGCAGGAAAAGAATTTAACGACTTGCCACAAAGTGCCAGAAAGATTGAATATAGAACTATTTTTAGACGATTTTTAGAAACTCATTTTATTTGATGTAAAATCATTTCATCTTTAGATTGGACTGTATTGAACTCTTGTAATCAGTTTTTAGATATTTTACCATTAATTTATTAAGTATCAGGACCCTAAAGGTAATAGTATATATTGTACTGATAGGTTAGCCTGTTAAAACATTCGATTATTATTATTATTTATTATTATTCTCCGCAAACAAATTGAACAGCAGATAAAAACAACTGGTACAATTTCGCCTTGGTCTTGAGAAATACCATGTTGTCAGTCACTTCTAAAGCTAGATAACAAGCAGCACTTGTTGTCAATTAAGATCCCTCTTTCTATCTTAGCATGCCATTTCAATGTTCAAAAAAGTCTGAAGAAATTAGTGAATTGCAGTTCGAGAAACTTTGAGGGACATGGAAATAAGATACAATTTTAAATAAAGAGAGCCTCGATTTATAGATTTAGTGCCAACAAGAAATCTTCGAATCTTCAAATCATTAGTTTGTTTATATAAATTCATATAAAGGAATATCATATTTAACCAACGTAGCAACTACCTGTGCTTGATCCTTAATTGATTTTATTGCAAGAAGGTCTCTGAAATACCTAAAGCGTTTCCTCCACCGAGCAAATTTTACATGAAATTTCCTAGTGGAATCCATTCTTTCTATACATCCCTTTGGTGTTTGATACCTTACAAGGCAATGTCTGTGATGCAATGAAAGATTACTTCGTTATAAATGCTCATCATGGTGAAAATACTAGAAACGACCAACATCTCGTCAAGTTGCCTCAAGTGAAATCAGAATTTTGACGCAAAGGTTTTCATTATCAGGCAGGAAAATAATTTAATGACTTGCCACAAAGTGCCAGAAAGATTGAATCTAGAGCTATTTTTAGACGATTTTTAGAAACTCATTTTATTTGATGTAAAATCATTTCATCTTTATGTTGGACTGTATTGAACTCTTGTAATCAGTTTTTAGATATTTTACCATTAATTTATTAAGTATCAGGACCCTAAAGGTAATAGTATATATTGTACTGATAGGTTAGCCTGTTAAAACATTCGATTATTATTATTATTTATTATTATTCTCCGCAAACAAATTGAACAGCAGATAAAAACAACTGGTACAATTTCGCCTTGGTCTTGAGAAATACCATGTTGTCAGTCACTTCTAAAGCTAGATAACAAGCAGCACTTGTTGTCAATTAAGATCCCTCTTTCTATCTTAGCATGCCATTTCAATGTTCAAAAAAGTCTGAAGAAATTAGTGAATTGCAGTTCGAGAAACTTTGAGGGACATGGAAATAAGATACAATTTTAAATAAAGAGAGCCTCGATTTATAGATTTAGTGCCAACAAGAAATCTTCGAATCTTCAAATCATTAGTTTGTTTATATAAATTCATATAAAGGAATATCATATTTAACCAACGTAGCAACTACCTGTGCTTGATCCTTAATTGATTTTATTGCAAGAAGGTCTCTGAAATACCTAAAGCGTTTCCTCCATTGAGCAAATTTTACATGAAATTTCCTGGTGGAATCCATTCTTTCTATACAACCCTTTGTTATCAGTATTTGCATTTGAGAGTCGGCCAGCCTCACATGTGAGATTCACGAGACAAGGGCATCGTCGCAGACATTTTCTCGTCGCAGAGAGCCTCGATGTTCCTTCGTTTCCCCTCGATTTGGGGTTTGTATAGAAAAGTCTTTCACGTTCTTGAGACATTCCAGATAAAATTGAAACTAAAATGCTAAAGCAGTCCAATCCTTAAGAAAACTTGATTCTGAAATGCTTGTCGTTGACATTTCTCCAAGGACAACGGACTTGTTTAAAACTTTTGAATATTGTTAATTTTTTAGATATTTGATTTCAACGTTTCCATCATTAACCTGAAGAGTGCGGCACCAAATTTAGTGTCTAACAACCCCCCCTCCCCAATCATTGTTGCTTAAATCCGCCCCTGAATTTCAGGCAAAAACTTTTTTATCAGGTAAATTTCTAGTTCATACAACCCCCCCTCCCCCTCTAACAAGACTTGCCTCGCGACGACCCTGACCCCGTGGTATCGTCCTTATTATCTTCGAATGTTTCTTGTATTAAGCGATATTAATAAGGTTCTTATTATCCTTTTTTATTAATTTCAAAATACCAACCAAAACAGGCATCACCTTAAACTCAGAGGTCCCCTTAACGACAGACCTTCCCTTAAAGAAATGTGCATGAGGAAAATGTGACAACTTGGTAATATGATTATCAATATATGAGTGTCTACGAAATCTGAAAATTGTTCTTATGAATAAACCTCTAGCTCGCAAACCTCTATTATCGTTGAAGATTCAGCCAACATAATGACATAACGGCCAAACATTACTGAAGGACATTCCAAACTGAGGTATTGGTTTAGCTGGGTAAAATTGGCCCCATCAACACATTTAGGATTCACTCTACCATCATTCTCCAAACTCATGCCGACGCGAACATCAAATGGGTTCATTCGATTCCAGCAGCAGTCCCTCCTGTTTTGCAAAGCAACTGATCGAACAGGAAGTGTGTGTTGAAGATCAACACGAAACCATGGAGGAAAACTCTGATATTGTGTAATGGCACAGGTTCCGTGCACCGCTTCTAAGCTTCTATCAACTGCGTTGGCTGCAAATGTTCCGGGATCATATTGTGACGATAATACCGCTGGCATGTTTAATGCTACATTGATGCTCGCTGAAACAAAATTGAACCAGTAACCTGAATGGAAATAGGTGGGGATGGAGGAATTAATTGATGGCAAAAATAGAATCCGATGAGCCAATAAAACTTTCAAGCGTAAAGATGGATTACAAACTTTATTTCAACACCACATATTTCGAATTATTTAAAAAAAACTGCAACACAATGAATTGTTCTTAAAATACTAAAGACGCCTATTGATTTCCAGGAGGAAAAGATTTTTGTCCATAGCTTTTTATATTTTAATTTCAGCTACTGTGCCTTGGTCTGGTATTTTCATCTTCTAAATCATTACCAAATATTGAATATTTGCAAGAATGCGCTCTAAAACTTCTCAATGATTATCACACAAGATCGTTTAAAGATTTGCTTCTGAAGTCAGACAAATTCGCTGCTAGATGTTAGCTGCTCGTCAAATATATCTGCTCGTTAGATTATTCAAAGCAGAAAACCAGTTCGAGCCACCTTTTATGCAGAATATTTATAAATGACTCTAATCAAAATATATTTTAAGAAATCCAAATAACTTTGCACAAGTTAGACATAATCAGAGTTATGCAGCAATTTGAATGAATATTTTTGAAGAATCTAAACGATGGAAAAGGCCGAGCTGCAAATGTAGTGCCTGTCATTGCAATTTTATTTTGACTTAGTCTTAGTATTTATAATCATCAAAGAATCAATTTATAGCAATGTAGCAATGCATTTTTGGATGTTAGGAGCATTCTGGTTTTCTGCAATTTAGATTTGAGTCCAACATGATTTGAATCCAGCAAGTGGCTTACTTTGAAAGGCATGAAGTACATAAAACACTATAGCTTTAAGCAATTGGGCGAGATAAAAAAAGAGATGCATTTTCTGCCATTGAAAGAAGTCTTTCAGGGAACTGTCCTAATTTCCTGATGCCAGAATACCACCTTTACCGCTGCTGAAATAAAAGAATACCAACCAATGCATTGCAATTCATCATTCAGTTTGTATTTACCACTGCAATCGAAACACCTATAGCCTGGGCACGAGCACGTGTCAACGCAGTACTCTGACTGTCTGCATGGTTTGGAAATCTTGCAATATGAGCCAATCTAGAAAAAACAGCAATTTGATTACTTCCTAAATGCAAGAAAGATAAAAGAAAAACTTGGTTACTTATCACCATCTGAAAATTCGAATGTTTTACATTTCAATGAATCAATCTTTCATAACATACATTTTTCCTGGTGTAATTTGTAGTATAATAGGTCCAGCCATCGCTGCTCTTGAAATCTGCTGGATCAGCATTCTCCTTTGTTTGAGTATTCAGCTGGCAGTTATTTTCACCAGATTCTTTGAAATTTACAGATTTACATCTGTCACTAAGAATGCAGCGTTCAAAACAATTTTTCAAACTTGAAGCGGTCAATGTTGAAAGCAATCGATTATAAAGTGCGTAGCCTGGAGATGCAACATCAAACACTCCCTCTACTTTGCATGGCAGACGTAGAATCCATGATCCAGCACGTGTTAGGAACAATGCTAGACTGAAGTAGAATTTAGAAAATATTTTATTATGGCGAATATTGAAATAGGCAATATCAAAGCATACCCAAAGCTCAAAGCAAGTAGTTTTAGCAAGCAAAAACTGTTTCACTTACTGCCAAAACTTTGGTTGTTACAACGTGACACCAAATGTATTGGACAGAATATTAAAAACTGCGAACTTTGTTTGATTGGCGGTCGCATTATGACTTAATGTCAGAGTAGAAAAGAAGCTTATATTCATCCTGATTTGCACACCAAAACAATTCAAGCGCTATTAACACGGTATCAAGGGCTCTACGATAGAACAGTGAAAATAGGTTCTGAAAAGTTTTTCCCCCACATTTGGCACATAATAAAGATAAGCAAACCAATTTATATATTTAGCGATATTATCAATTTCGTGATACTTACTATACATGTGAAAGAAGAACAAAGAGTTTTTGAATCTTCATTATTTTTCTGCAGACCAACTCCTCCGAATTTTATCACAGAATAGATCTTCTTAAACATTTAAAATGGACATGAGCTGATATATCTGTTGTCTGCAGCAGGTATCAAAGCATTTAGCGTCGACACCAGCAGTGATAAACAAAGGGCAGACATCAAAATTTTACGGACGACATGTCTCTTTTAATGATAATGTGAATACTACGCACGTGATTTGTCCCTCTCAACACCTGGAGTATACTATCCGTCAGTTCCTATTTTCTAGGTATAGTTCTGGTGGCCTACTGTGTAACCCATTTTGCTATATTTTGGATGCAGTTAGATTTTCTCATAGTTGCCTTCATGCTCAAGTGAAAGCATTTACAGTAAAGTTCAATAGGTTACAACTTCAAAAAGTCAAACAACGCTTTTAACACAACATGATCGCAAGATGATAGCATAGAAAATCATGCCCCATGGCACAATAATGTCAAAAATCAGGTTTTTCAACACAGTATAATCTTCTTCTCTTTTACATAGCTGCAAACTTGTCCATCACCTCGTCGCGATCGATTTCAGTGTTTCTGCAGAGACTCAGGGCCATTAGATTTGACGAACCATCATTTTCCATGGCTGATGGTAGGTAGCTTTCTATCAACTTCATTCTTCTAAACGAGCGATCTGCACAAGCTGAAGAAGCCGGGAGACAAACAAGAATTCGAAGCAGCGTAGATAGGTTTGGAGAAAAAGGCAAAACCGATTGATCACAATAGATTCTAAGATGTCCCTCGGTATCTTGTGATCATCTTCCTCTGGGTTTGTAACAACGAATGTTTTTTAAACAGGCTGGATGTCTTAATATTCGTTGATAATATCTGCGACTATAAGATACATCCGCTTCTATATGCCACCTTGCTTTTTCATCAAGAATTCTGTTTTCTTTTGGGGGCGGAGGGAGGGTGGGGGCATATGTTTCAAGTTTTGAAAAATTCCTATCAAAATGTTAAAACCTTTGGTCCATATCTTTGCAAATTCCATCCAAATTAAGAAAAGCCACGCCCTGCTTGTCAATCGTACTCACATCAGTCTCCAGTTTTCCAGGTTGACAGGGTCCTTTATTTAAGGTCTCTGCGTCACATTTTTGGTGTTTCCATGGCAGAGACATTTTCAGCATATAGCAAAATTCTGAACAAACATCTTAATTATAGTTTTTGCCGCTTGCTTCATGCTTCCCACTGTGTAGGATGACATGATCGACTTGAATATTCTTGAATTTCTCGCGAAAAGAGGCCTATGGTTTTTCCTAAATAGTCAAGGCAAAGAACCACTAAATTATTCCACAATAGCCAATGCAGAATAAAATAAGCAAAATTGTGAAAAAATTAAATATGGAAAACTAAGAAGACTTTCGTCAGAAAATCGTTGGAATGTGACTTGTGAAAAATCCCAAAATTTTCTGATTAACATTCATATTTTCCGAGAGACAGCTTTATAGAAAGAAGGGGAGACGCGCCTTCAAATGCCTTCCTTTATGAAGGAGATTTTATCCCTATCTCTGATGCAATTCATTTACAATCAGCATTTACCATCAGCAGGTAACTTGCGCAGGTGAAACGCCATTGTTATCAAAAAAAATATATTATAAATTGTTATATATCTAAATGGCCATTTAGATCCTAATCTCTAATGCAATTCATTTACAATCAGCATATACTTAGGAGATGAATATATTCGACAGGTGCAGTGGCGGCTCACGTATTGGGGCTAGTGGGGCTCAGCCCCACCAAAGATTTCCAAAAATAAGTTTTAGATTTATAAACGTAATAAAATCAACGTCCATTATTAATTGAGCACTGTTCACTAATTTCGTTGCTTCGAGTTTCACTGTTTGTCCATTCTCTAGTTTGTTTAGGTCCCACTGCCCGCGGTTCTTTCAAAAACTGAACAAACACGCGTATCAGAAACCATCTCCCGAGCTTTTGGGGCTAGCCCCAAACTAGCGGAGAATGCACCAATCAAGTGCCTCTCATGACTCGACTATTCAATTGATGATTGCCTTCTGATTGGCCAATTCGGTTCGAATCTGCATTCCTTTGGGGCTAGTTGAAACTAGCCCCAAATAATTCAATTCAACGGTAGCTGAATTTTTGTTGTTGTGATGTGATAGGCAATGTTGATCTTGAAGTGGAACGCAGCAGAGTAGCGTGTATTCAATGACTCGAGTTATCAGCCTTAAGGGGCTTGGTCCCTATTGAAAATGGAAAATTATGAGATTTTTTGGAAATAAATTTTTTCCTGTTCTTTTAACAATTAAACCTTCCTCTTTCCAAAAATGTAGCATTTTGCTATAAATTTTGGAGTATTTCTTCAAAACTCACGATTTATTATGAGTCACTCTGAAATGTTTCCTTAGAAACGCCCCTAGTAACGCAATATTGATTATTTCCAGCCCCAAAATAATGGTCTCCCCTCGCTAGCCTTACAAACTGTAATTGAATTGGATGCTTCTAGTGAGAGATTGCATTGAAGGGAGGTTCAGGAGCCTTACATGAAGTAACTCTGCTGTTCTTCACGCTCCTTTCATTGTTCACCTCACGATAACATTTTTCGACAATTTCACGACGAAATCTTCGAAAACTATGGGAAATCCACGAAACAGAACTAGAAAAAGGACAAGGAAAGGCAAAAATACTAGAGAGGTATCTGCTGCTAAAATACAACGTTTGGTATCAGAGAGCACAGGTGAAGTATCCAGTGGAAGCGACCGTGACGAAATTAGGCCACAACAGAGCGACCAACAAACTCCAGTAAGTAGAAATGAAACTGGAAGTCAATCTTCATCAGGAAAGAAGCTTGGGCCAATGATTGAAGCTCAATCAGAGGAGAAAAGTCACAGTTTGGAAGGTTTTTTGATGTTTGACATGCTGAAACTTATTGAAATGTTGTCAGTTGTTTGTTGCCCAAGTTGCAAAGAACCTGGGTTGCAGTTGTGCGAAGCACTTCATAAAAAATTCGGTTTCAGCAAATGCCTCGTTCTTGACTGTCCTAAATGCAGTTGGAGTCATGAATTCAACACTTCAAGCTATGCTAGAATTGATGGCAAGTCCAGGAACAACATGGAGGTAAATGTTCGAACAATAATGGCTTTTCGAGAAATTGGTGTAGGGTACGAAGGCCTTGTTGATTTTGCAACCATCATGAACATGGCTAAACCTATGACACGAAAAAGCTACAACAACATTGTAAGTCAAGTGCATGGAGCATTTGTAGATGTTGCATCTAAAAGTATGCAGCAAGCTGCTGAAGAGGTCAAGATGAAAGAAGGCACAGCTGACATAGCAGCAAGTTTTGATGGGTCTTGGCAGAAGCCAGGACATTCTTCTCTTAATGGGATTGTGTCAGCAATTTCCATTTCATCAGGAAAGGTGCTTGACTATGAAGTAAAGTCAAAAAAATGTAAAGGTTGTGATGCACAAGTTAATTTGGACAAGGCATCCGAAGAGTACATGAATTGGAAAATCCAGCATGGCTCCTTCTGTACAAAAAACCACTCAGGTTCATCAGGGCAAATGGAAGTTGCTGGAGTGTTAGACATGTTCAAAAGGTCAGAGGAGAGATATGGGTTAAGATACATTGCTTTTATTGGAGATGGAGACTCCTCTACTTTTAGCTGTGTTTCTAATGCAAAACCATATGGTGAGCACATCTCTATTGAAAAAAAAGAATGCGTAGGACATGTGCAAAAAAGGTTGGGCTCACGACTTCGCAAGCTGAAAGTTAGTTATGGAAAGAAAAAGTTGGGGGATGGTAAAACTATTGGAGGGAGAGGGAGGTTAACAGAGAAACTAATAGACAAAATGCAGAACTATTATGGACTTGCTATTAGAAAAAATAAAGGTAACCTTGATCGTATGGCTAATGACACTTTAGCTGGTTTATATCACATTTCCTCAAATGCCAACAATCCTCGGCATGATCTCTGCCCAAAAGGCAAAGAATCTTGGTGTGGGTGGCAGAGGGACTTGGCAAATGGAACCAAAAATTTCACACCAACAAATGGACTTGCTTCATGTGTCTTTGATGCTCTTTTACCAGTCTATAAGTCTCTTTCCGATAAGACGTTGCTGTCAAGATGCTTGGATTCTTTTACTCAAAATCCTAATGAATCTTTGAACAATATGATTTGGAGAAGATGCCCAAAGAAGATATATCAAGGAAAGAAAATAGTGGAGCTCTGCACTGCAAGTGCTGTAGCTAATTTTAATGATGGAGCATCTTCACTCAATCTAGTTTTGAGTGCCTTGGGGATAAATCCCGGTTGCCATACCATCGCAGGTACAAGGACTGCTGACATTAATAGGGTGAAGCTTGCAGAGAAAATGGCAACAGACAAAGCAAAAAAGCAAAGAAAGAAACTAAGAGCAATAAAAAAGGGACTGTGGGACAAAACAAAACAAAAAGAGGGTGTTGTCTATGAATCAGGAGCCTTTTAAGTAAAAGTATTAGGTAGTAAATCTTTAAAATGATGATTCCCGCTAATAAAAAAAATCGTTAATTACAACATTTTGTCACAAGCTTGCATAAAAACCGTACCAGTAATCTTCATGAAATTTTCACAGTGTATTCTAGGTAGACTAAGCTAGTGAATGAGGTAAATTTGTATTCTCTAAGCCCATTTATATGTCAACAGTGACCATCCAAAAGTAGCAGAAACTCCACTTTTTACCTCACAACATCAAAAATATCTAGATTTCCAAAATTTGAAAAGAAACCTAGGTTTTGAATACCTCATACACTTACTAGAGCATTATAGTATAATTATATAGAAAATCAGCCTTTTTATTCCAATACTTGTTGCAAACAGTTGCCAGAAGTAATGAATGCTTTTTGTCTATTGTTCTTGCCGCCATTTTGATTCATTTGCATATTTAATTGAAATTTTGTTGAAATTATGATTTTGGCATTAAATACTTTCTTCACTGCAAAAATGAAGTTATTTTCTCAAAAAATGAAGAAATTTCTTTTGAAAGGGACCAAACCCCTTAAAACTTTGAAATAAAGCATACAAGTTACATCTTTATCAAAATTAATTTTGCCGAACTTCAAATAAGCTCATAATGGGAAGGCTTGGCCGTAGGCCTTCTAATGGCATAAAGCATATTTCCAATGCAGGCTTTCAACTGGAAACATTTTTATCATATAAGGGTAATAATTAAATGCCTGATGCTCCCAAAAAAGGGATTATTTCTCATATATAGGCATAGAGTACCGAAGTGATGACATCACAAAAATCTATTTTTAAAATTTTTGAATTTTGATCCCATAGACTGAAAGAGCATCACGAAATACCTCTAAACACGCAAAATCAGTTGATTTTGTCACAAATTGGCTGTGATATGGCCACATGAGCACTGCCCCATCAAACCTCTGTAATTTGATTTTGTCCATAACTTTATGAACCAGGCCAGAATAACAGTAATCCGTTAGCAAAGTTGAAATCTTTCTTTGGTCATATCCCACCCAATTTTAAACATATCTAGCTTATAATGCACATTGAGAGGTATTTTATGCCGTTTTTTCACAGTATGTGGTCAAAATTGAGAAATTCTAAAAATAAATTTTTGATGACGTCACACTTCGGTACTCTATAAAGAGCGACAGAATTTTTTACAGTACTAACAAACTAAACGATTCTTGCAATTATCAATGTTATTAAGTTATACCTTGCATAATTAAAAAACTAGAGAACAGAACTTCGAGCATTAAGCGAATCATAAATTTAAAATGAAAGCCAGTGTGAATATGAAAATTCGAAAGAAAATCATCTAAAGAGATTGGCATAAAGTTTATAAAATATAGCGAGGAGACAAATGTTGTGATTTATGCATGTATGCAATAACAATGGATGAATTAGATTAATTAGTTAATTTTTTTAGTCAGAGAGAACCATGTTAGAGATATATAAGCTTAGCTCAATGTCCTATCATGTGCATACTAAACATGTAGTCTTTCGTGTACTACCAGCACAAGAGAACATAATAAAAGTGAGGTCAGATTTAGTTTGGAAAAATTTCATGATAAAAGAGAATTATCACTTAAATTATTATTAATTTCATTAAATTTGGTTTTGAAAATAGCTGTAACTATTGACCAACTCAACAGCAACTATCTACAATTGAAGATTAAACTAATGTTCGTGAATGATTAACGTAAATTCCCTATTTACAAAAACAAGCTCAAATAAAAAACCTAGTTCCCTAATTATATTAACGTATTCTTCATCGCCTCCTCTCCGCATCGAGCCTCGCTGTGCAGAGCACAGTTTATTTTGTTCTGATTTACGCTGTGCAGATGTATTCTAACTCGCTCTTGTCAGCAATAAACAGTGGTGGCGCCAGAGGGGGGGCAGGGGGGGCTACAGCCCCCCCGTCGGAGGAGGCTAGCCCCTCCGTCGGAAGATAAATTATGCTTGAATTTTTTTTGTCGGAGCGAATTTTTTAAGTTTTGGCGGAAATAGAAATTTCTAAAAGGACTGTTATCAGAATTCAGGAAGCTCATCCCAAAACAACTCATCGACACATCAATTTCATGGTAAATAATAATCTGTTATAAGAAGTTTGAATTGGTTGTTTAGATGTTCAGTACCAGGTGTTTTCCGCATGCTGTTAAATTTGATCTTATGTTATGGATAGTGCAGTTCGTCCAAATCTTGCTTGCTATAACCAACCTACAACATCGGAATATTTTTGTGCGATAGCGATATGGCAACAAATGTTACCCGTTTCAGTGTTAGATGTAGTATATGTAATGACGTATTTAACAATGATTACGCTGCCCGCCACACGAAGTCCAAGCACAAAGATTTGGCTGCAATGGGAAGGACTGCTCCTACGACGGCAATAGTTGAAACGGACTCGCAGCAGAGAAAAATAAAAACATTTTTTCAATCAAAAGGCGGTACTTTTCCAAAGAAACGAAAGGTTAATGATTTTGAAACTGAAAGAACAACAGAAGACCCCGAAGAACAAGAAGTTGAAATTTCGAAAATTCAAGACGAAGAGCAAATCGAACGTGGTATGTTATACGTTTTAATATTTAAGTCCTTTTAATACGAGGAAAAACACTTAGCAAAGGGCTTCAGCCATAAAAACAATCAAACTCATTTACGTAGTAGCTAAGCCATTTTACCCCATCCCAACCATACATATTTGTAGTGTTTTGCTTCTACGTACACGTTTTTTTATTTATAAGAAACTTGACTCAAGCCCAGAGTACTAATAGTTTCCAAATTTCTTCCCTTTGCTAGGAGGGGCAAGGGAGGGGGCAAACGTGCCCTTAGTAATATGTCAAAAAACGTAGTAAAAAACACGATTACACCATTTTGATAGCATTTTTAGCCAATCTAATGGGTGTAGCCACCAAAATTTTCCCGGGGGAGTACCCCCGGACCCCCCGAATTTTCGGCTCGCAACGCTCGCCTTCGGTCTCCAGTACCCTTACAATTCCTTGTCGCCCCCTAGCCCTATCGTTCTCTAAAAAAATTAGCCCCTCCGTCGGAAGTGCTAGCCCCTTTGTCGGAGGAAACCTAGCGCCACCACTGGCAATAAATAAGATTTACACATATCATACCAGTACAAACCCTAGTTCATCAGTTTTTTTTACAAAAAATACAGTATGTTTTTGAGGATAGGGCACATATGTGGAGGCTGCACAGCGACTTCAATGCTACGAGGAGGTCCGAAGAACTCAAATCTGAGTTCGCCGAGTCTTCTCCAATCAGGATTTCAACAATGGCAGCTCTCTCTATTCAATTTTTCATTAATGTACTGACAGGGAATTCAAAAAGTAAGATATAATGCCTAGATTGTAAGGTAATGATAAAAATCCATACATACAAATCTTTTAAAATACAGCAACAGGTTACAAAAGATGAAATAAATCACATACATTGAGAGAAATAGAGAACAAGAAAAAAAACATGGATTATTTTTAAAAACGAAAGAAATTTGCATGCGGGAAGTTCTTAAAGGGGGAGCTATCTCAATAGATAGACTAATAATCGAGAAGAGAGCACCCCCTCTAGGAGAGAGCACCCCCTCGGTTAAAATATCCTTCGAGGAGAGAGCACCCCCTGGTGATACTGGGTTAAAATATTTGGAAAAGAATGAATATCTGCAAGGCAGTGTTTGCTATAGCCAATTGTTAAACTGTTCAAATTCATATTTTATCAGGTGCAATGTTTGCGCAGCATTAAAAAAACTATGGTATCTGTGAAACAAGCAAGGTGTATGACGTCACAAGAGGAAGCGTTTTGAAATGTTGTCAACAAATTTTGTTATGTAGCCTCCTATGTGTTAATTATTCATTAGGAGTTTACTGCTAGACGAATTTGCATGTCACCTGTCTGGCGTAAATCAGAACAGATGTTTCCGGATAATTATGTTTAAATTTCTAATTGAATTTCAGAAAAGTAAATGCTTCAGTAGTAAGTTACTGTTGCCGCGACATGTTCCCATATAGAGGAAACTCGACACGCGTAATTGGCCTATTATTATTGGCCGACATTTTACTGCTTGTTGCTAGGGTGTGCAGCAGTTTCTATTATGGAGGCAAGGGTACGGATGAAATTGCTGAAAAATCGAGATTCAATCAAATATTTGCCGAGCTTCAAAACGAGTATGCCGAGTTTGAGTTACCTAGGCTGGTACCTAAACAGGTAGGTATTTCGCATTTCTTTACTTTTGTAGCATTCTATCTAATCCAAGAGGAGCACCCCCTCCCTAGATTTTCGATTGCAATTTCCATGGTCGTTTGAAAATAGCATTGATGAGTCTTATTGTTTTGGAAGATCTCCTTTGCTAACAATAACAAGATGAGCAATTAACTCTAGCCCTAAGTAATCACAGTCCTCTGTCTTTGACGGGTGTTCATTTAGCCACCCACTTCTCTCTCAAGGTACTACCATATGTTAGCTGCAGAAAATTTGGAAATTGATGTTTTTAAAAAATTAATCAAGGTTTCCTTAGCTGATTCACTTGAAATTAAAAGTCTGTTTTGTTTATCTTCAAGATTTTACAGTATAAATACATTTTTAATGCTGATATTTTTAATTAGGTATTGAGAAATGGTTGATAAAAATTATTTTAATTAAACAGACAATAATTTACAGAGCTATCTATAAGGATGATCTATTTTATACAAATTTTCAACTTTTGGGGAAAAACCTGAAGGCTATAATATAAAGGGGCTGTATCTAGGGGCTGAATATAGGGGCTGAAGTGGTCCACTTGGAGGGCAAAACAATGACATTTGCCCAGCAGATAACATGTTTAAGAAATCCTCTGACAGTTGCTCTCTAGACATGGCCTTGCTGTTGCAACTGTTCTCTCACTTTTTTGAACAAAAAAACATAAAATCAGAGAATGGACAGTTGGGAACCATTAACCATCCCTTGTATGCCAGAGTTCTCTACAAATATTGACATATTTCTCAGAGGGGATAGTTTTGGTATGACATCCTGTGGAATGTTAGAGAAAATTGGAAAATCTATTCCTTAGTGGAAGCAGAAAATGAAAAAAAATGTAATTTGGTCTCTTACTTTAAAAGCAAATTACTTTAAAAGATGTCCTAGTCCCCATTTTTCAAAAATATGCCTCAAATTACCATTTTAAAAATATTTTTAATTTTTTTTTCAATTTCAATTATTTTTTATATATCTGCTCCATCAAAAGAGCAACAACCTTTGCCATAATGGTCATTTGTGGTGTTCCTGCAGCTATAGAAATTTGATTTTTTGACTAGCTCCTTTTGATTGACATGTCTCTCATTCTCACAAAACAATTCAGATTCCAAGCCTTTCTATTTGTATTTGTTACTACCTAGCATCTGAAGGTTGTTTTAGGACACCGAAAAGCTGTGCTTATCAAGCAGTGTCCTGGTCCTATCTCTTAATGTGAACTAAATCAATGCATATCATATAAATGAAATGTTCTCATTTCTGCAGTGGTTTAAATTTTGGACAGTGACATCACCACTCAATATGTATGTATACTGTCAAATTTCATGCCCTGATTGCAAGGGGAAAATGGGTTAATCTTTTATAATCTATTATCCAATTATAGTGTAATTATAAGGTAATCTAATAAATAATAATCTATTAATGTATTAATCAGAAATGCATTGTGCATTGGAAACCTTTAGACTGATGTTAGCTTGATTTTTTTAAATCTTAGGATTTTTGGCAATTCTAGGTAGATATTTTTGCAACACTGATATTTTGCAAAGATGGGTTTTTGTCAATCATGTCTAAAGCTTCATACAAGCAGGAGTGTTCTGCAGGACTGCAAGGGCTTTAAAGAGTTTTTGTGGGGGCAAAGCACTCCAAAACCCACAGGCAAGATTCTTTTACTGTTTTAAATTCAGCTTTGAAAACTATTAGAAGGCTTAACACATCTCTCCTCCCTACTTCAGTGGGTCCTGCTTTTACATATAACCGGCACAGACAAATGTATAGCTTTCATCCTAATTGTATCTCATTGTTTGTCCAGGTGGATTCATTTTTCCAAGCCATGGGCCCCAAATTTGTTATTGAATGCCCATTAATATTTTTATTTTATGATAAATCTTGAAAGTAATTATAGAATCATAAATGTCTCTATCTTACTGTTTCCAAATCCCTAATTTACTGCTTTAGGTTAGTCCTTCAAACAGTAATGTTGAAACTGGATGGAGCAGTTCTTTTGTCAGTGGAAAATCTTATTTTTGTTGTGTAGTTTCATTCGAGTTTAGAGATGCCACTTTGCCACAAGAAAGCACACAGCTCTAGAATAAAGGAAATATGCACCCACCTTATTGTTTCCAAAATCTAGGTATAACTAACGCGAGATTAATCATAATTGATTTATAGGGATTTGTTCCTTTGAAAGTTAACCTTTCGATGATTATTAAACCCTAAAATGTATTTTATCAGCAATAGAATAACTTGACTCAGTTTAAGACGCTCAACTGGAATTAGCGCTAATGTCATTCTGAAATCTGGGTTTTCAAATTGTTTTTGTGTGTATTTTGTACTTATTTATAAGTATGGATGTCATTTTTAAGTAAGAAGCATTTTGCGCGTCAGTTTGATTTAGATGAACCGTTCTGCATAAACCTAATAGAGCTGGGATCAGATTGTGACCGAAAAAAATATAAATTCGAACATTTAAGCCCAAAAGTACAAGAGCACTCGTGCAACTATGTTTTCTAGTACATTTTACTAGAGCGATTCTCCCCATGTTTACAGACGTTTCTCTCTTTGAAAATACTGAGTGATTAGGCCCTTACAGCTTCAAGTATCATGCCAGGGCATAAGTCTTTGTATGCGAATGTTGCACGCAAAACATTTATGAGTGAGTTAATATCTATCGACCAGTCGAATAGAATATGGTGTACTTCATAGATTGGGGAATCATTCAAGATGGAAGTTGATAACGGACGAATCGTGACTGCAACATCTTTGAGCCGAAAGCCACCAATCTTCGAAATCAAAGATTTTCTCAGCGTTTCAGAGTGTGATTCCTTAATTGAACTTGCCCAGAAATCTGGATTGGAGGAAAGCGTTACACTCGATGACAATGAAGGTCTGATGTAGAACGACTGCGTGAAATTAATGATTTTTCCATTTGGGATAAAAACAAAAACAGTTATGTCGATGCCAGCGAGGTAAGATTAATATGGTATCTATATCTAATGTATCTTGGAATTTTAACATCAGTCCACTGCTTGGTTTGGGGCCGAATAATTCCTTAGAATTTATCATTGTCATTAACTGTATTGTGCAGAATGAACGAAAACTGTCGCTTAGATTTATATCTTAGAACTTTTGTTAGCGCTCCAACCTTGTCTTGCTATGAATTGTGTGACAATGAAAATATACGTACATCTTACTTAATGGTAGTTTTTTGACGGCAGAAGTCTTGAAAAAGAACGCTGAGTGGTTTGGTTACTCCTGGCCTACTCCTGGGCGAAGTAGCTTCACCAAAGTTTTCTCCAGTTTTGAATTTACGATCAAAGGAACAAAATATCATCATTTAACCGTTTAGAAAAAATCCTTTAGAATAGTTTCTTTTCTTTTTGACTTCATTTATAGTTGATAATGTTGGTTTGACATTTAAAATCCTTTTTTCGTTACATTTGTTGTCGATTTGTTTTTGTTGGTTTAAAAATCGTCACAAGATTTTGCGAACCCTCCTCTGAACAGCCAATTTTAAGCGTAACCTTAATTTTTATCTTGTTTCAGATAAGCTGGATTTTTATGCAATATTTCGATTTTGACTCCGAAGAAGACAAAGTTTTGAGAATGTAAGTCACCATTGATTTTTGTACTCTGTTGATAATAATCTTAAGGCGAACGGATGTCTCAAACTAAAATGCTTTAATGCCGAGCAATCTCCGTGCATACACGTGCATATGCGTTCTTTTTTTCTGTATTTTTGCAATCAGAAAATTCTACTTCAGGATAATGAATAACGGTTATTTTACGATTACTGTTCATACGATTACGATTAAAGTTATGTAATATAAGTTAGTTATAAGTTGATTAAAATATAAGTTTTTTTTATGTGTGGCAATAACATTTAACTGATTTTACGTACTTACAGGTATTGAATGTCGCTTTTTTAGGTTTTGGGATTCAAATTCAAAAGTTACAAAAACATATTTTTGTGACGTCATTACTTAAGAACGCTATTCTGACTTGTCAAACTTTATTTATATATATATATGTTTCAAGTGATCTGAAATTGTAGACTGTTGGCTAGTATTAGTGATAAGACTAATTATTTTGAAGGATAAAAGACTTGAACGCAGACGCTGATAATGATGGTACGTTTCTTAGACTCCTAAAAAACATTACATCTCAATATGAAGTTAGGCTCTATACATTTTACTCATGTAAGGTTTTTATCTGTGTTTTTAATGTAATAGATTTCTGTTTATCTTATTTAGATCTAGGAAACACGACACACAGTGTTCACAACTGTTGCGGTGTTTGGCCTATTTAAATATTCGTTTTATTATTATTGTTCGGTTATTTTAAATTGATTAAATTATTTCATTATCATAAAGATACGACCTAATTGATTATAAGATTTTCGGATTTGTTAAGAAGAGAACAATGTGTTTCACTACAATGCCAAAATATGGAAGTTTATGCCTAGCTTCGATTCATTATCACAAAGGATTGTTGCAGCAACACAAAGAAAGGCTTAAATTGGTGGAAAAGGGAACCGGCCAATCCACTTTATGATATTGCCGAAAGTAGACAAATGACAATGGCTCTCTAAGATTCTTTTCTTTTGAGTACTGGTCGTACAGTGACTAAACTTTTTACCTTTAAAGGAACACAAGTTTTCGGGTCAGTTTTGATTCTGTGAGTATATAGATGCAGTGCCGGATTATACTCTGGTGATGTTCTGTAAAAACTTAATAACTGGAACCTGACGACAGGGTTGGGATACTCTTTTCCTTTAGCAAATATTGCAAAGGTATTCGGGAAGCCCCATGTATTAGCAAATTTTTTCTGCTCAGGTAAATCAAGACTTTGTTACCAAATCACAGTTTTCTCAGAATACTCGACAGACCTGTAGCCAGGATCTGGCCCTGTTTTGTTTCACAGCCAAGGCTGTTTTCTTTGTCAAAGTATTATTTTTTATTGTGGAGAGCACCACTTCTATCTCGTCACGCTGTGAAGTAGCTAGAAATGTAGCATGTTTTTAATTGTCTCTTTTCTAAATGCAACAGAAAAATACGTTCCTCGCACTTTAAATAAGAAAAAAATGTAATTTATTAATGACGAGAAGCGTTAACATCTGCAATCGGGTCTTTTTCTTGAAGTTGTTTTGAATACTTTATCAAAAATTCATTTATGCAAGTCTTGTTCTCTACCAGAATTTTTGACGGAAAAAGTCGTGCTTTTCTAAGCGTTTTTCTTCAATGGCAAATCTTTCTGTTAATTGCAACCAACAGCTCTATATGTTGCTTATTGTTGGAAACGGTTCTATAGTGTGCTTTATTTCTTGTCCTTCAGTTGTTCAAAAGAAAAATCATTTTATAATATTTATATTTGCTTTGAAAGTGAGAATTCTTCCTGGGTATTCGGTCTCTAATTCTCGTGCCCATGCTCAAACATCTTGCTAATTTGGCACCACCTTTTCCTGTACTTTTTTTAAATCAAGAATTTTGTCAAAATACAGCGATTTGTAATATGCCTTTTTGGTAAGCAACGCTTATTCAGTTCTGTTTCTTCAACGAACGGATAACAGTCTTTAAATACTCTCAACGTGTAGAATGGTTTCCGAATGTACTATTTTTTTAATAATCAAAGGTTTGGCGAGAACCGTTTAGCAAAGACCTCCAAAATAGAAGCCATCAAATGTATCTATTCATTTTGCGTGATCATACACACACCCTGCTTTGCTTTATTTTTATATTCTTTCATAAAGCGAGCAGGGTATCAAAGTTTCAAATCGCCTGCAAAAACTGCAATATTAAAAATTGTTTAATTACTCTTAGGAAGCCCAGCCTTTCGAAATATCGAAATATCAACACATAAATGGCCGTCTTTTCACAGTGTAGCTGTCTGTTTTGTGGTGATTTCATTTCATTTTGCTATGTCAAGTCTCGTAACGTTCTTATATTTATCTATGTTGCGTTTTTGTATAGGCCAGTTATCAATGAAAGAGTTTGAAGATTTGAACCTGAACAAGACTGCACTTGGTTTTATCAGATTGATTAATGAAATCAAAGCCGAAGACCCATCTACGAAGGGGCGTTTTAGCGAACAGACGTTTTTAGGTGACGAAAAACATCCACTTTTATCGCGGTTACGGCAACGGTAAAATTTTGAGTTAATTTTATTATTGCATCAAACCGAAGTTACGGCAAAATTTGCTCGATCTTTCGATTGTTATTTCAAATTTAATAGTTCGATTGCCAACTTTTTGTGATTGCAACTCAGATAATAGATATAACGATTATGTAGCTATTTTTCACGGTTAATTTGATATTTCTAATGTTAAGGGTTCCACAAGGTAAGGTAAGTATGAGTTTAGTTAATAAATATTGCCCGATAGAAACGAAACATGAAAAATATGCTCATTTATTGAAAGATATTTTGCAATGAAGTAAAGATTTGAAGTATCATCGATATTTCAAAAATTCTAAGCTCTAATCAGTTGCCGAAGTATTATGAATCAAAATCACCTGGTTAGGAAAAAGGAGAAGAACAATTTGAATGAAAGAATAAATAAATCAACGAAAAGTTTCTGAATGAATGTTTATCAAAAAGTTTTTAAAGAGTAAAGCGAAAACAAGTTTATAGCAAGGGAAAGTGGACAGGTGCATTAAGTGTTGCTAAACAGTGCTACTTAATATTTTTGAAAAACATAGAATTGATCTGATTTGTAGACTGATTTATTTTCAACTCACACTGAAAGTGATAGTGAATAAAAAGGAATTATATTTTCTTTAAAGCTTTATTCTATGTTATTCTTCAAACATCTGCCTTATTTTAACTCACGAAAAACATTTTCCCTACCAACAAAGTCTTATTTAAAAGCTCTATTTTTTATTTAGTGATAGAAATTATCACGAGGTTATCAACACAACTAATTTATCAAGAGGTTATCAAGACAGCTAAATTTTGAAAAAAGTTCTAATTTTTTGGAATAGAATTTGCTTGTAAAATTTTTTGGATAAATATCTATCAGATAAAAAATAACTGTCAGAACATTTTACTGGTGCATCTTGAGCAAAGTAAGATGATTGCAAAATAATAAAGTTGGCAGCAATAAACTTGATTAGCAATTCTTTAAGAAAATTGAAGGCATCGTCCGTTGTAGTGACACTTCATGTGCTTTGGACTTCAGGGAGGGAATAAAATTTTCTGTTAAGATCTATATTTTAATATTTTTGCATGTTCGTTTGTAGAAAGTTTTCCTACTGCCATGTTCGAAGTAAAATTTTGGAAGGTTTTTCGTTTTTGCTTAGAAATTTTAGGAAATACGTGAGGCATAGACGTTGACCGAAGACTCATTCAATCGTTTCAAACTTTGAGAAGTTTCGGCCGAAAAGCTCTTCTTGCCCCCAGGGAAAAAATGACGGGTATGTGCCTGCCAGATAAGATTTTGTGACGCTATCTTGGAAAACGTCACCAAAGCTCGAATAAATTTCTGAAAATATCTTACGTGAAAACCTAATATCTTCACATGGCATACCTGCGCTGGAAAAAAGGGACAAGAGCTGTAATTCTGTCCTTGAGTTTTTAGCCTTAAATGACACCCTGTTGGCAGACGCATCCCCTGGTAGTCTGTTTATTAAGTGACCCCCCGCCCCCGGGTTCTGGCCAGCAGTGTTTCATATTTTGCAACAATTTACAAAGGTTTGCAAATTTTTAGAAATACTGATAATGACGATATTCTTACAGGTTGTCAGTTTTAACTGGACTACCTAGAGAATTGATAGATAGCAGTGAAGATTTGCAGGTAGAGAATTTCCATATTTAATTGACTTACATTATTGAATGAAGAGATATTTCATGTCTTTCGTTAAAATGATGCAATTATTTTGTTTAAATAGATGTTAATTTTATGTAAAATTTAAGTCTTCAGGTCGACCGACTGCGTCTGTACTATAATGAAACTTCAGAAAGCAAGTTGTTTGACAAAACGAAAAGTTTCAACAGCCATAACTTTTTGTTTATAGGTCAGATCACAGTGTTCTTTAAATACCTTTTGTTCCGTTTTGCAAGCTCTTTCTTGTGGTATCATCAGATTTTAAAAATTTGAAATTCGAAATTTTGTTGACCGTGCATTGTTCATGCTTCCGGAAACGCACCTTCCGGTCATTTGCCAGAATGTTCCCAAGGCTTAAAATGATAATTGGCTTTTATTCTTACTTATGATTTAAACTTTAAAAACTTAGGTTAGGTAGGTTGCTAGATGGTTATGTAAAATTCCCTGTCTACTTGCTAAAGCTTGACAATGAAGTGATCGCTTAATCTTGATCAACTTGCTAAGGCTTGACAATGAAGTGATCGCTTAATCATGATCAACTTGCTTAAGTTTGACAATGAGGTGATCGCTTAATCATGATCAACTTGCTAAAGTTTGTAATCGCTTTCTGTAAAACTTCAATAACAATGATGTAATTGCTAAATCAATTAATCACAATTAAGCAGTTTGGGCAAACCTGGCTATCTTTCTTTAAAATTCTTTATGAAGTTTGCTAGCTCAGTGGACAAGTTGTAGGTCATAGGTATCCACATCGGTCCCCTGTAGCATATTTCGTCGTCAGTGGCTTTGCGGTCATCTAGCTTAACACTCCTCATTGCAACTTCGACATTGAAATTTGCAATTTGCGCTTTCCATTCAATCGAACAGACTATTCAAAAGTCTCGTGTGTCAATGGAAGGACAGTTTTTACATTAATTCGCGGAAAGCTTATGCTCCGCCATAGAAATGTGCTCAGTACACATGGTTTTGATTTTTTTTTCAAAATTTTATGGAAACCACCAAAGTTTCATGGTTTGCGTTATTGTGCAATACCGATTTCTGTGCGAAAAGTGCTGACTAACTAAGACCCCGTTTACACTGTCCCGTGCAAGTTTGGAACCGTGACAAAACTGTCGCGGTTCGCCCTTGCGTTTACACTAGCACTGTGGAACCGTGACGATTTTGCTCTGCTATCCGGAACAGTTTTGACCCTGCTTTGAAAGCGAACGAATTTTGTACCGTCACGGTTCCGTTTTTGAACGGGACAGTGTAAACACCTATCCGAGACGATTTTGTCACGGATTCACAAAGAGGTCTTTTGTATGGCTGTTTCAGGTAATCGAGGCTTTGATTGTGGCGTAACTACGTTCTCAAATTCTGAAGAAAAGGAAATTCTGAAGAAAAGACGACCACAGAAAAGGCTTGTAGTGTTTCCCAGTCCAAACCTTGATTGGACTTTGCAGTTTTGTAGTCTAAAATAACACTGAAAATTAAAGCCACCTTGACTTTCGTCCAAGTAAAGTTTTAATCGGCCTTCCGCTCCATTTCAACTCACAATAAAAATTCGATTGTTGACTTCAGCGGCAAAAAAGGCCGTGGTTGACTAAATACAGCTTCTTCTAAACAATGCTCTACCATTAAATTAAGGTCGTACTGGTACAGTGTAAACGGAACGGCTAAACGGAACAATTTGGAACCGCGACAGTGTAAACACTTGCGAACCGTAACGGTACAAAATTGTCCCGGGACAGTGTAAACGGGGTCTAAGTACAGAGAATTGAGTGTCGTTGCGTAGACTGTGTGATTCCCCTTGAACTGTGCGATTCCCCTTGAACTGTGCGATTCTCCTTGAACTGAGGGATTTCCCCTTGAACTGTGATAGCCCTTTGATTATCTGCACGCAACAACCGATTGGTGATAGCCAACCAATCAGGTGCATATTTGAGCTTGCACGGTTTCAAAATTACACAATCACTAAAGGTCGCTCGAATTGCTCCTTGCATAAGTACCCCCTCCACTGAGCCTGAAGTGAAATATTATGCTGTAATAAGCTCCAATCTATATACAAATTTTGAAAATAAATGACTGGAGCACATGAGACATCACATGTTAAAGTAGATTGAAACCTAGAGTAAAGGAAGCTTTCACAATGTTTTTGTAGCATTGATCTTTAGTTAGCTATCTATAAAAAATGACTGATTGTTGATTTACTGATTACTAAATCCTCGTTTTAGTTATATTTTACAAAATATTTTGTTGAAAATCTTTAATTTGCCCTAGCCCCCATATTTCAAATTTGTGTCAGTGTCAATGTTTATTTCAAAACTCCTTCAAAGCTAGCCATTGCTAAAGGACAACCATTCTTAAAAGAATCAATTATATTTGTAACCCCTTTTTACTTTTTCAGGTTGTGCGATATAAGCCGGGCGGTCATTACAACTGCCACCTTGATAGCGAAGAAATACCGCGAGTAATGAACAAGTGCTGCCACCTCCCTGAAGCAGGCGACCCGTTCAAGGGTCTCTGCCAACTATGCAGGTACCTAAATTGCAGATATGCAGTTGATTTATCTGTCGCAATAACTTTATAAAATTTGTATTCTTGGAAGGTAACCGATATAATTCGTCGCTACCGAAAACGTACACAACGCCAGCCATAGACCAATTTACGATTGTTGTATTCGACTTTCGAAGATAGGCGGTTGGTGCATTTTCAAAAATAGTTTTCTAGTTTGGACTGTTAGAATCGAGGGGAAGGTTTTGCAGGGCTAAGAAAACCTGTCTTTGATGGTTTAATCGCGACAATTAGAAGTCAAGAAGAGCCTGATAGCACTTGGAAATGACCTTGTTCAACTAATCCTCGTTTTCGCCAAATTCACCTCCCTAAAAACGTTAAAACTTTGCCTTCTTGGATATTTAACTGTTGAATGTGTAAAACTACATTTGATTCAGATCTTGGAAAACGCAGTTTGATATGTTCGGTTTGGCATAATCTGTTCGACATAGAGAAGTTAAACTTTTCGACTCAAAAGTCATCTTCAGTAAAGTTTGCAAAAAGCAAAAAGTTTACAGGTAGTAAAAGCTCAACAATAGGAATCATAAATCATGTAACCAGTTCGTGGGAAAAATAAAAAGACGTAAAAGAAGACTTTAAAAGGTAGTGGTAAATGACCTAGGGGATATAAGCAAGGAACAAAGAGAGAACAAAAAAATAAAAGGAAGAGAAAGAGAGTCAGAATAAAATCACGGAAATGCGAAATAAGCGAAGCTCTGTCCCTGTGTATGAGAAGTCTTTCGTAAGAGAACAGACCAATTTGTACAAGAAGCTACGTGTCTAGTTTTTTAATATGTTCATGAATGGGAAAAGGGCGACCAAAGGAGATTTAACTTTTTGCCCGTTAATTCATAGATGCTCTCTACAGCGAATAAGTAGACTGCAAATTTTTTTCCATAGTAAGTAGCGCTGCAGCCACTACTCGTAAACTTCTCAATAACGTTAGAGCACTTATAGGAAGCGGGGCGATCCTTAAAGACGACTAATTTAGCAAGACGTCTAGTTGATATAAATACAAGCCTTAACTTAGCATCAGGGTAGCATCTTGTCATTAGTTTGATACTGTTTTCCTAAATTGAAGGCTATAGTGTTCTAGGAAAGGAGCAAAGAATAGAAAACGCTTTTTCACTATCTAGGTTGGAAGTAATCTCAATAGGTTTTATTTGTTTACCTAGAAAGATTCTGATCATCTTATCAACCCAATATTAAAACTGCGATATGGTCCATACCCATTGCATGGGAACTCATTGGCGAGCATGACATAAAAATTTCGTTCCTTTTGTAAGTTGATATTGATTTTCCTTTCATATTTTTTTTATTTCAAACTTTATGAAAAGAGTGTTCTTTCAGGTATATGACTGTGCTGTATTTCCTAAACGACGTGGAAGAAGGGGGTGAGACCGCATTTCCTCTTGCTGACAACGAGACGTTAAGTCGTGAGGTTTGTTGATCAAATAGGGATATTATATCCTTTACTTTTCTCTTTTTGTCTTTTATTATCAGTTCAGCTTTAAGCCTTGGCCAATCTGGGCAACATTGTCGGGCAACATTCATAAATTCCCAATGTTGCTCAAAAGTTGTCCAGTTTTGTCGCCATGTAGGCTGACAAATTCGTCAATAAATTTGTTGCTCTAATGTTTGAGCATGCTCAAACATCTTTCGGCAACATTTGTTGCTTAGCTCTATCTTTTCCAGCTCGGCCACATTGTCGGGCAACAATTCACCTTAATTACCCATCTAAGAAATCAACATATGCTGTTTTGTATTGCAAAACGATGTGCTCGACTCAATTAAAATAAAATGGCCTTTCAAAGTTTAAACTTTGAAGTTTATTGTACATAATGGAAAGAAAGCTATGGGGAGGAAGAATAGAGCAGGAAGAATAACAGGGTGTTGTCTGGAACAAGTCCCAGTGCAAGTTCTTTGAAAAAAACAGATTGGCCTAATGCTACTGAATCTACGAGTGCTCGACCAAAAACTTCTAAAAGCAACAGTGGTGTCGTGATGTCAAAATCATCTTCCAGTAGCTTCACCTTGCTTTCTTTCTGCCATATTTATCCAAATTTGTGCTTCAACAAAATATGGCACGGAAAACCACTTAACCGACCAAATTTGGCAAGCTGTTGTGACATCATAAACAATAGATGCTTTACGACAATGGTGCCCAGTTTGGCCGCAATTTTTCGACGGCAAAAATCCAGTTTGGCCAACGCTTTAGGTCATGCTGTTTTCCCTAGCTGTCAATCCGTTGTGATGTGTTTTATCTTAATGTATTGATTACTCGTTATTCTATGGTTGTAACCTAGAAAAGCGTGTCTTCAGACAACCCTAGAAAATTAGATGACAATTATCTTAAAATAACATTGAAGAATGACAACCGTTGGGGGAGGGGGGAGGGGTTGGGAAGGTATCTTTCACATACACTGATACGGAATGTGCCATTTTTGGGCTATCTTTTTTCAAGTAAAGTTTTGGTTATCAATTTCTGTACAATCAAACATGGTCATAAATTTTGGGAATGATCTTTAGCAAATTTTGGGTATCATTTCTAATAAAGGCAATCTGTTTTCATTTATTTGACTGAGTGTGTTGCTCTGACTAGTTAAACCAATGCTAGCCTTGGTTAGGATCAATTTAATTTCACATCTCAAATGGTCTAGGGTGAAATTAGATGGGTCTCACAAATCTTCTGGCTTCGATGCTTCAGTGTTTTTTTAATATAATGTGATGGAATAAAGGAAATACTTATCTTTTAATCTCTGTGTCCATAAAGCCTTTTATTTCGTTTTTTGAATGCAGTTGAATTTTAATAGCATTTGAATAATTTATTGTCTTGAAAATTTTGCGTAACGGTTTTGGAATTGAAATTTAAAGTATATCTGATATCTAGTTTACAACAGTATCTTGACCGCTGATCTTTGAGCGATTAGTCAGTGTTATACAGCTACAAGCTATACATATACAACTTAGGGGCCCTTTTATTATATATAAAACCATTTCTATCTGTCTCAAAACCAGAGCCGTCGAGAGACAGCTCGGGCCCAGAGGTGATTCACAAAGCCCGACCCCTTAAGAAAAGGTCTTATGGCCACACCCTTCCATCTCCAGGAGAATTAAGGAAACGCTCTTTTAGTTACAATTGTTGAAAAAGCCTTTTAAGGATTTTTAAAAAAATGTGCAAAAAACTTTACATAAATCAAGGACATGTTTTCTCTGCGATAAACTTACAGGCGCTGATTCCATATAAGTAGCTGAAATAGTAGCTTTTTTGTATTATAAATATATCTTATTACATTTATACGGGCCCCATTGGAGCACGGGCCCCGGATCTACCCCTCCTAACCCCCCTCTCAACGCCTTTTCTCAAAACACGTGCTAAGAGGATGACTATTTGAATGGCAACAAAGAAAACATACATTCAGGGGCGGATCCAGAGAAAATTTGAAGGAGGGGCAGCTGGTAGTGGGTGTGCTGAAAAATTTTCAAAAATTGGTTACGAGAGTACGCTGTATCAAGATTGTTGTGTAGCATCTAATAAATATTCTATTTTGTTTATTTCATTTCTTATTTGCCTCAGGAATGGACAGAGGATGCTGAAGGGTTATGCAATCTGGCCCGAAATTGCAAAAAATCACGAGTTGTTGTAAAGCCCGAAAAAGGAAAGGCCATTTTATGGTACAATCATCATCGTCGCAAAGAATCCGGGTGGATGGGACAGATCGATTATCGGAGTTTTCATGGTGGTTGTAATGTATGGAAAGGTCAGAAATGGATTGCGAATAACTGGATTAATGTAAGTCCAATCCGTGACGAAGATCTTAGGTTGTGGGCTAAATTGAGATCAGATGATAGGCACAAGATGCAGGGTGAATTTTTTGTAGATGAGAATTCAACCGGTCCTGAAAAAGAAGAGATTGACATCCAAAATGATGTCAGCCAAGAAAGGGTATTTGGTGTAAACGATGAATTTAGAAACAAGGTCTCAAAAAAGAGCATAAATGCTGCCAATATCCATGATAGCATTGTAGGAAAGCAATCTCCACAGACTTTGGACCATAGTGAGCTGTAGACGAGTGGCAGACAAACTGTCATTAGTTCCGTTAGCATAACAATTAAAATAAATGATAGCATATTTATGAGGGGGTTTAGGCTAGATCGTATTGTAATATATTCGTACTTAATCTATTTTTCTACTAACCGTAATCTCTAGGTAATTATTCAATACAAAAGTGTAGAGACGAATCAAATATCAGTTATGGTATTTTAGATGAATATGAACTGTGTATAACTATCCAGTAGTGTGTTTTGATATTTTTTTTCTGATAGTATGCGAACGGGTGAGTATGCATCATTTTGTTTGGAATCAACGGCAATCCTTAGCAATATTGAAATACTTCGAATAGGTTGACATGGGTCCCGAATTATGTGTTAGAATTAAGATCAGCAAATATCTAATAAATTAATACATATTTATTAGTCTATCCTGTGGTATAATGAAAAACTATCTTCGACCATGCTCTATCAATTGCGTGGTGCTTTTACTTCTTGAGTGCCCCTTAAGAGCTACATCGAGTTTTTTTAGCTTCCATTAAGTATTATAAAGACGAAACTAGATAAAGAGGATCAAAAGAGCGCCTGACTGTACAACCTAAGTTATATTTTCAAACTCGTTTCATTTTGATCATAGAATCTAAAAATATTTCACCTGTCCAAAATTAGCTGAAGATGCTGTACGCGCACAGGTTTTATTTTATCAAATCAATGAAATTCGGCCTTGCGTCCAATTTTTATTGACAGTCATCCGTAAGGAAACCTTTGTCTTTTTATTTTCCATATCTTTTCTTTGCCATATCTAACAAAATTTTAGGTATTTTTTAATAATTTTTCAAGTCACGCGGTTAAAACTTGAAAGGCTATTGAAATAAATTTTTTGATGAATTCTAACTTGGATTCTCTATTTGATGAAAAATTGTCACGCGACTTCAAGCTCTTTCCCCATTACATCATGTTTTTTTCAACACTGGTTCCAAATTGAATAAATCAAGCAGTAACAAAAGTAATTCCGTAGTTAACTTATTGTTCCTACTGGCCATATCTTAGCCAATCTATTAGAGACTTGCCTGAATTTCTACATTTAGAGGTATTCAATGTTTTATGTTAGACTGACTCTAAACAAAGACATCAAGACATCTTCACATAGGTTTACTGGTATAATTGCTGCCGAACAATTCATTCCTGCGTGTAATTTTGTCACATTCTTAATTCGAAAAATCATTCCTTAAACAACTTTTCTTATAAAGTTTATTGATCTTTACACGATTTATCAGGACTCAACTGCTGTTTCGCTTCATCCTCTCCCAAAACCTTTAATCTTTCATAAAAGTTCCCTGTCCGAGTCGTAAATCTCAGCAGCCTCGTTTTGAACTACGATCTTGTGCACGTTGTTGGACTGCAATCATCACATCAGGCAGAATGCAAAAGGGAAAAGCTAAAAGGAACGCAGACAGTGCGGAATATGATGAAAGCTCTAAGAGAAAAAGGCAAGGCTGTGGTCTTATTAAAAAGGAGTTACTTCTTGATTCTTTTATAAAGGAAACTGGCGAAGTTTACAGGTTAAGTATCATCACATTTGTTTTGTTATGATATGAAATGATGTCATGTGAACTATCTTTTTTTATTTCGAAAGATCCGAAGAAGGATGCTGTCTTCATCAGCAATTCTCAAATAGGAATTTTGAGGGGAAATGAAGGGGAAGAGAAAGGGATGGTAGACATCATACCTAGAAACGAAGGACACCAGCAACAACAAACTTCAAGGGGAGGGGTGGGTGGGTAGGGGAGATTGGCTTTCCTTCCACTGTATTTCTCATTATTAAAATTTATTGGAAACGGTACGTTTTGACCAAGTTTTTTAGATTTTCCATATGATCTCTAAGATTAGAGAAAAATGGTTAAGGTGAAGTTGCCTGACGTCAAGTCACATCGTTAGGTACAGTTTAAGTTTTCCACATTGTTTGGCACACTGCTGAGTGCTCATACACGTATTGTTATTTTCAACTTGAATGATGTATTTATAGTTCAGTTCAGTTCAGCTCATTTCATTTTTGAAAGTCCATACATTCAACTGAACAACTCATTTAAAATACAGCAACAGTAGAAAACATGAAATAAATTACATACAATGAGAGAAATAAAGAACAAGGAAAAAAGCAGGATTTACATGCAGGAATTTCTTAAAGGAGGAGCTCTGTCAATAGATAGACTAATCGAGGAGAGAGCACCTCCTGTGGTTAAAAATCTATTAATTCAGTATTTACACCACAGGCTGCCTAGGAGGGAGTCATAGGACTAACAAGAACAACTGCCACACAACCTCCACTCCCTTCGAAAAGAAAATAGCAAAGAATGCCCCACAGCCATCCCCATCCATCCCACACCCCTACAAAGAGCAGCCTATAGTGACATTTTTATAGTCCTGAGAAGATGTTACAAAAAATTATATTGTTGGTATCTGGTGGAGAACAGATGGAATTTTAGTTTCTGGCGAAAATTTGTAACTATAGTAGATTGTTTGATGATGCAGGGAATGTTGTCCCAGGACTTGGCACCTGCATATCTAACCGATCTTAACCCATATTGCAGGGTGTTTTCTTGAGTCATATAAATATCACCTTTGGAAGCTTGTCTTGTATCATAGTGATGAAAAAATGTCAAAGTTGCAAAAAAATTGTGATAAAGGACAGGAGAAACCATGTTCATAGATTCATAAACAAATGCAAGCAGCTTAAACTCAAACAAATAATTCAGTTGAAGAATTTTCAAATCAGAAAATATTGTTGGCTTTGTATGCACTTGATGAGTAAGACCCCAGACAATGACTCTATACTGGAGAAATGAGGAAAATAAAGAGTTATATAAAGAGATTAAAAAACTAGTAGGTAAAAGATGCCTTACTTTGAAAAATATACCACAAGTTCTTGAGAGCTTTATGGAAAGTTTGCTTAAATATGATATTTCCAACTTAAACTTTCATCCTAAAGGAGACCAAGGAATTTGACATATTTCGCCTGTTTAACATACTGATTATCAGATTTGATATGTCTAAGCTCCTTGTTGACCACTTTTTGAAGAGTATTTCGGCTGTCTGATTCAAAGTAGATGTTTGCGTCATCAGCAAAGAGATAGAAAGATAGTTTGGAAGGTGAACTGGGAAGATCATTTATGTAAATTAGAAACAGAAGCCAAGGACAGAGCCTTGTGGTACACTACAAGTAATATTGTGATGACTGGAGTTGTAGCCATTTACTGAAACATACTGACTTCTGTTACTGAGATACGAGGTAAACCATGCTAAAGCTGTGCCTCAAATGCCATAAGGAGAATCTGATGATTAGTATCGAAAGCTTTTTGTAGGTCAAGGAACATTCCACATCCAAATTTCTTATTATCCAGAGAATTCTTGATTGATTCTGTCAAACTGATTAATGCATGGTTAACAGAATGATCAGCTCGAAAACCAAACTGGAGATTATACAAGATTTTATATACTTCCAAAAATTAAATAATCTTTCATACATTCATATCTCCATGACTTTGCTGAAGACAGACAGGAAAGATACTGGTCTGTGGTTTGTGACACATAGTTTTTGACGCATATATTTCTACAAATTCTAAGCTTCTTGTGTTGTAGATATTCCTCATTTCAAGTTTTACCTTCCATCTTTGGCCATAATTTAATTGCCAACTCAACTCTTCATAATGTAAAATATTAAATAAATTATATTTTAATTATATAAATTATAAATAAATTATATTGTTGTTTGGCATACTGTTGCATAAAAATTTTGGTATCCGGTGCCTAACCAGTGTTAAGTTTTTCATTAATTAAGTAGGACATAGTAGTATCCCCAATTTCAGAAAGACACCCTTGTTTTTTATATCCTTTTGCTCTTAGTACATCTTTCTTGTGCCAGTTAGTTCATTGAAATACTGTTCTCCAAGTATTTAAATGTTCCATTTTTTTCAGATCTGGTAAACCATTAAATTCAGGTAATGTTAGTCTTTTCATACTCCATTATTTCTTTTCAACATTGTGTTCAAATCATGATTTTGTTTTTACTTCACGTTTCAAGATTGTTTTGGTATATATTTTGCTTTAATGTTTAATTTGAGCAAGGTTATTCTGCACCTTTGAAAAAACCTGGAAGAGAGGAAACATGTCATACTAAAGTACTTTTTGTCTAACACTCATCAGAGTAAAAACCTTGGGTAATGTCCAAAAGTAACCAGAACAATTTACATCCAGAACATAAGCCATAGGTGTACCGGGTAAGTTCACTTGGGGGGGGGGGGGGGTGCTTTGATTATTTTGCCTGAAAAATGCTAATGTCCATATTTTTAGGAAGAACAAGATATGATCATTAGCATCAGGGTGTCATTGTCAAGTCTTTGCTGTGTTACGAGGATATATGTGTAACGAAGATATGGTGTTAAGAAGATATGTTTTTATGTGTCTTGGTGAGCTGCATATAATGCTGCTGGAAAAAGAAGCAAAAAATTGCGACAACTTTTGTCGAATGGCTAGCATTCATGCTTGGATTCTCTAATGCCAGTGGCATAATGCTGGATAGGGCACCTTAGTTTGATAAAGCCCAATATGCTTTTACGTACATACTTTTAAAACTTTGGTCATGCTCAAAACTTTCAAGATCTTCTAAAGTTCTTCAATTGAAGCTCTAAAATTCAGCTCCCACTAGCTAACAAGAAAAAATTCTCAGTTTCAAATTTTTCTGTTGTGTTTGAAGTGCTTTACACCCTTAGATGATATCTTCTTGCAGTGTATGAGTAGAGGTCCATGGCAAATTTTCCTAATGGCCCCATAATTTTTCCTTTACCCCATTGCCCGAAGCAGAAGATATATATTGGTCTTTGTTTTTAAATTGTGCATCAATTTCTCCCAAGACTTTTTCCATTCAAAAGCATGTCCTTAACCAATGTGTAAAATTCAACAAAAAATTCCTTTCTGACACCATTTAGTGCAAAACTGTTTCAAATGAGATGTCTAATCAAGTATGACAGCATAATAGTTGCTTTCTTTTGCTTCCGAAACAATCCTCTCAAGCACTATTTTCCCTGCCCTCTGTTCTTGTTGCTTTCTGTGTTTTCACACATTAGGTCTCTTCAACCTTCTTCTATTTGTTCTGAAAGCGCTCATGATTATGACCACTTTACTCATCTCAGAGATTTATAAACACGTTCAAAATGTAGCTTTTCTGATACTTTTTGTTTTTGGAGAAGCCTTCTGCCTGATTTTCTCCCAAAAAAATGAGCTGCCCGAAACTAGGGGGTGGTAAGCTCACCAGCCCCATGGGCCTATGACATCAGCAGAACTTATCTGCTTATGGTTCTCTGATGAGTGTCAGTCAAAGAGCACTGTTATATGACATGTTTTCTGCTTGTTTGGATATTCTGCACCGAAAATGGTGAAATTTCAAAGCCTGAATGCTATATTATAAACATTTTTAGACAGTATAAACAATATACATTAGACTATTCTTATTTGCAGTTAATTTTTTTCAAGTTCTGTAACTAGTATCATTATTGACTTTATTGTTATAATTACTCCTCTGGGAAGAGAAAAGCTAATTTGAAAAGCGACTCTTGGATTTCTGAACTAGCATTAGCTGGAATAAACATTATGAAGCAAGAACTTCCAGAACACAAACTGACAGGGGTGGACAATTCCAGTTAAAAAGTGGTCCCCCAATGGGGAACCAGCAGCTTTTTCAGTAGTCTCCCGCAAACTCTGGTGACAGGATGAAATGAATAATTCCAGTAAAAAATTGGTCACCCTGCAGTTACCTTGTGTAGCTATAAGCATTCTCCCAGAGATAGAAATAGTTTTCTTGCATGCATTGGAATTTGAATTGTCCACCAATGATATGATCACCTCTCTGTTGTTAACAAAAGTACATACTTCCAGAAGACAATCTTCAGCTATCCGAGCCAAAACTTAAAAAGCTTCCTGAAAACCACAGTTGGTTTTGATACAGTTTTTTAAGGCAACCACCTCTATTCCTGGTTGTTGGGATCATTTCACCAAGACCCAATTTTGCACCTTTGGTGACATCTCTAGAGGCTTTATGAGAAAAAGTATATTAAGGTTAACAAAATCTAATTGTATGCGACAGTATGCCTCCTAATCTTGACAGAGTTTGACATTTCAGTGCAACGTCAGCAAAATTTCCATTGTCTTTTGGGAACAGACAATTACAGGCAAAAATTCCTAAAATCCTCAAAATATACTTTGTCTCTACACCTGGAGTTTGGCAGCTTTGATAGAAATCTATTCGTAATGATGGCAAAAGCGAGAGCTCATTTGATGTTGCTAATACTTTTTCACTATAAGTTGTGTTACTAAGCTGTTTTGTTCTGTTCTTGTTGATATCCTTGAGATTAGTACTTCTTGTGTTTGTCTTTGTCCATTTCTGTGTACCGCCATTATACAACTTAACTTTGGCATTTTTCCTTTCCTCAAGCGCATGCATTTCATAACGTATCATTACTTCTAGTTAATACTTTTTGTATTCAAGAAGCATTTGAGAAAATAAAAGTGAGAAAAATTGTTGGCAAAAATTGGTTTTACATACATACTTATTCATGTTAAGTTATGAGTTGTAGATTGCAAAAAATGAAACTCTTTTATTTTTCAGAGAATGGGGCAATTGAGATAATAACAGAGCCATTCCATTGCTGCATCATAAAAAATTTAATTGAAGATGAAGAGTTTCTCAAAGAGCTCAAATCAGACTTGTTGTCCCTAGAATTTAATGAAAAGTCAAATGATCTTTACAAGTTTCAGCAGGTTTGTGTTTGAAACTTGATCTGCTCTGCTCTGCTCTGCTCTGCTCTGCTCTGCTCTGCTCTGCTCTGCTCTGCTCTGCTCTGCTCTGCTCTGCTCTGCTCTGCTCTGCTCTGCTCTGCTCTGCTCTGCTCTGCGCTGCTCTGCTCTGCTCTGCTCTGCTCTGCTCTGCTCTGCTCTGCTCTGCTCTGCTCTGCTCTGCTCTGCTCTGCTCTGCTCTGCTCTGCTCTGCTCTGCTCTGCTCTGCTCTGTTCTGTTCTGTTCTGTTC